AAAAAAAATATATTTATATATTCCAAAACCAATGGAAATGCGTTAAATGTTTTGCATTATATCGTGAGATTTTTATTGAATTAGATCCATGTAAGATTCGGTATCTGCCAAGGTGGTTTTAAAGGTATTGGTGTGTGAATATACACTTTTCTGTTTTCATGATTTCATGATTTCATGTTTTCATGATCTTTTTTATTCATTTTTTAATAAAATATTACTGAATTATGTAGTAATACTATTTCAGAGAAAACCTATGACAAAAAAAGAAAACAAAAATGACAGAAATATCTATAAACGTCCAACAAGCTTACAATCAGTCTCTGAATGCTTGTATTACTTTTTGGGCTTATTTTATAGCCTTAATTATTTAAATTTTCAGTTTTTGAATTAGTTATTCATTAGCAGAAGTACATATGGTTATGTACTTCTGTCATGAGCTAATAATACATCTTAAAATATTATAAAATAAACTCTACTTTTCATTCGTATAAACCTTGTTTTGTGRTAAATGCCTGAGATTAAACATCACACTTCCACAAATGGTAAAACTGTGCTTTCTAGCACGTTAGGTAGTCGTGGCTCTTTTCTTAGAAGTGTCCCGAACCATCCATCCTCGGGAACCCAACGACAGAAGATTACCCCTGGTTTCCCGAGGATGCGAACCATGTGACCAACTGAGTGTAATTGTACTCCCTGGTGATAAATTCCCTGGTGAGAAAGCTTGGTACTTACAATAATCGTTAGCAGTAATAATAGCTCTGCGGAACATTATCACCAATATTATTCATGCTAAAAAATTATATTGATAATTTAACAGCATCAACCATATTGTATCTTTTATTCTATTTTATTTTGTGGATTCTGAAKATGGATTCTAATATAGGACGTCTAATCACTAGTAGCAACCCATATAATTACTAATGAGCTCGTCATACGTGGATTTACCAAGGAGTAGAGATGGTTAAGTGGGGACGCATTAGAGTAARACTCAGCTTTGCCTGGCATCGACTAGGAAAGTATTTATCTCATCCGAAAGTTGTTTTTATTGGAGTGGGATTATTGGTTTTAGCGTCAACTGGGCTATTATTCTCGGACATCAAGAAAATTAGCTCTGATTTCGACTGTGTAAATGAAAAAGGTAAAACTGCCAGCTTTTCGCAAACAACTAGACGGCATTTAACTGCGTGAAACTCGCGCTTTCTGTACTGGCCCAAGGCTTAGTATTTCTTAGAATGTAATGGCGGTTATTGTTTATTACCAAAGTCAGTCATCCGCTATATTTAACTATATTTAACTATATTTAGCTTGCATATTTTTATGGGATCATCAGTAGAGTAATATTATTACTTTCCAACAGTTTTACTTTCGAAATCAAAGAGCATAAAATCATTGCGACACGTTGTTGTCCTGAACCTATATGGTGCTATTATTGGTTTGTTTGGGTCAATGTACATTGAAGTAGGGCCAGGATTCTTTTCCATATCTGTATACTCAGTTTATAATCGAAATATTTGGAAATATGGTTTTGTCCATTCCTCGGGTCCATTACAAGAAAACAGCGACAAATATAATATCGATTTATAGCTTTTAGGTTCAGCTTACTGCCGTTGATAGRGGTTTCTCGGGGAAGTACATACTTCCTCCTATATTTGGAAATTTATTATAGCTTAGTAACTTTGGTACATATCTATTTTTTGAAAGAATTTTTCTAAGCTTAAAATATGAGAACATATCTGAACTTTTTGATGAATTCGGTATATTGTAATACACGATGTAGACAAAGTGCTTTAACATCCCCCTCTTACTCTTTACCGATGATTAAGAGTACGAAGAGGTATTCTACTGGGTTCGGGATCATGAGTAATAATGAAGTCGTCGTCGATTTATGCTTAGAAATGATATCTGAGGCTAGTTTTGTTCTCGTGCAATTGAATGCTCACTCGYGTAAATAACTGTTTGTTTTGATATCGAGTTTAAAGCAGTAGAAGAGTCATTCACGATCTAATTTGTTCTCTCGCAATATTCGCTCGTGATATATCGCTCGTAAAGAAATCTGTATCCAGGTTTTGGGAAGGTATCGTCCCAAAAATGAACAGACACTTTCTAAACGCTTGTCCGCCATTACTGTATTTGACCATTATGAGGTTCATAATTTCATTAAATTGCTTTTGTCATTTTGTAACCTATGTATCAACTGGTATGGAAAGGCCATTAAAGTKATTATATTTTCATTGTGCGCATGTCTACTACTATCATAGATGCGTGCGAATGCGTTGGTTTTGGTCATTTTGTTGCTGAAGGAAGAAAATAACACTAACGATGCTGAATTTACGACTCGCCGCTTTCGAGTACTAACTTCATTGTCCTTGTTTAGTGGGAATCTGTTTACGAACCCATGAAGACCAACCTTACATGATTAGTAAGTTGCAATTTGTAACATGACTTTAATTAATTAATAAAAACCCTTAAAAAAGGAAAAAGATAGGAAAGGAAAAGAAAGAGAAAAATGCCCGCAAAGAATCAATTTGAAACTACAGTACTACAACGGCGTTTCAATGTAGCTTTTATTTCCCGACGTTAAAAAAAAATTAAACATTATATCAGTGGAATTAATGCTAAAACTAGTTGAAAAAGAGTTGAACGTACGTATCCAAGGGATAATAACTACTTTTTGTGRGTGATGTTACAAATTAATTATCATTGAATTGTAGCTACTCAACYATTGTTACCATCAAAGACAAGAGACGGCTGTTCGCCTGTCAACACTGACTGGTTTCCASTTTGTCGGTCTAAGTACAAGGTATCTCCCCCCTCTACTCTATACCTCTCCTATTTCGGCTTCCCTCTCACCTCTTAACAACCTGGTTTATTATTGTGAAAGTGCTGGCTAATGGTCTGTAACATGCATACCTGATGTCAGCAGTTGTGTGCATAATAATAAGAAGCATTTATTTAATGTTTGATAGCAATTCAACAAGACGTGGAACGAACGATGTCATGGCGAKAAATATAAAGTGAATATGAGCGACCCTTGTTCTGTGTTGAGATATCTTAGCGAGGTGAGAAGCTCTCTAATTTTTCCTTTTTTTAGGYGTTAATATATCACACCATTTCGCCATTTACTACGAACCGTCATTGACCAATGTATGAGAAAACATGYTCGCAATTTCATCGTAAAAGCATATTCAAAATGTAGTTACCATGCAGGAGTCTGGGACCCACTCATCGACATRATTTTCTCTGTGAGTAATATTTCGCCAAGTAACTGGTCTTTGCTCAACGATTGTTTCATGCAGGTAGAGCCTTGGTGTCCAAAGCTGCCGTCCAGTCCAACGAGAAAACCTTTGACTCATACACATTTGGTAAGTTCATTGACCTTATTGCAGGCCTTACTCTCCCTCTCTCTACACCACACATTTAGCGTTTATGAAAGCGCTTATCCGACGTTTAAAATTTAAGGAAATTTTTTGATATATGCTTGTAGGCCAAGATTCAAACCAATATTAGCGGCTTATTGAAACATTTAAAGCATGAAGATTTCGCTTGGATCAGAATGAGAGCTCAGTCATCTTGGAGCGAATGGGTTAATGGGGCAATGGGCCTACTCAAAGAAAATGATCTGAGCAATCGGAAAAGACAACGGGTACGTAAGCCTACATTAACTAAAAATAAAACAGTACAAAACAGTTCTAATGATTGTAACGATGATTTCTACTTTAGATCATATTTTACATGGGTGCATTTGATGTATACCCTGATTTTCTACAAAAAGCATTTCGTGGTGGATATTTAGGCGAGTTAGTTCAGTGGACCGATGTCATCTGTTCTTTTTACATCCTTGGTCATGAGCTTCATATATCTAAAAGTGTTGTGGACATAGAATCGAAAGGGTATRAAGCTCAATCACATGTTTATGAGAAATAGACGAATGCAGAATTAAAAAAACSATTAACACATGTGTGAATCATTTTATAATGAAATGGACAAAGCATTGAATAAATCGAAAAAATAAATGAATGGAAGAAAAAGTGGGAAAAAAAGAAGAATTCAAGACTGAAATAATACAATAATAATACGAGGGGGAGCATTGAATATATAACAACCATGGAATTTGATCATTATTTCAGGATACTAACAACACATGATAATAGTTGTGCTGCATCAAAGGTTCGTCATGTAGATCGTATAGTAACGGACATCCTCGGKACACGGTTTTTAGAGATCTATCTCGGGAAATCATTCCCAGCCTACAGGTGAATTCTCGCTCATCTTGTTTTGTTTGTCTTTCTTTTCCTTTCGTTCATTTTCATTTTTATATCTTAAATGTGTTTTAATGATATGTTATTGGAGTTTTTAAGGGTTTTATTCTGGTGTTATTGCGTTTCTTCGTTGAATGTTTTTTTTTTTTTCATTACAGGTGTAAGCTGCTTTTGCTTGATAGTTTTGGTACTGAAGCTGAATTYAACTACGCAGAATATACTGGAAACCTAAAAAGATCAGACTTCGGGAATTTGAACTTAAATCTACGACAGTTCTTAACTATGTATCGTAAGTCACTTGGCAATTTACTAGAAATAAGTTAAAAAAAGGTGAAACTTTTCTGTTGAAACTGATTCTTTTGCAYACCAGCACATAGCCCGGACAATCTCTTCATGGGTTTTGCTATATCTAAAAATGCGAACTCAACAAAAAAATACATCCCTACACACAAAAGAAAACCCAAGGGAGTGATTTATGGAAAATTACCTGGATATTACCAGGTAAGCCGTGCATAAACTGTCTTTATTATCTGACTGCACTATTCAACTAATAAGTCAGTATTACTGATAATAAGTTTTCATGTGAGAGTGCATCATAATGTTGACCACTAATGATATAATGATAAATATTTCCTAGGAAAAACACAGATATCTTCAAATACTACACAAGTATCTTGAGCTACATGGAACTGTCAATGGAACGGTACGAGAAACTAGTTCATATATCATGTCATACAAAGAAAAAGGTTTCATTTCAAAACACACGCAGCTTTGAATCTACGCACTGCGAACTCGGYCTATACTTAAATGATGTGTTATATGATTAACAGGAGAAAGAAGTCAAAAAGTACTTACCACATTACGTTATAAACCACGGAGTTTTAGAAATATCAAAATTATCAGAACTACTTCAAGAATCCAAGGTATATGTCGAGATAGATGTTACACTATGGCGGCACATGCTACCAAGACCGGAATGATTTGTCTACTCTCCTTTTGTTGTGTAATTAGTCTCAACAGAATACCTTTCGTATTTCCTTTGTTATTCAGATTTTTAATCCCTTTGAAGATTAGTAAAACAATTTGGACTAATTATATTACAAAAGCAAAGTTGGCAAAGGTCTTAGTGAAACCATCATGCAAACTGCCGATAGCTTTTTCCACTGATGATCTGACGTCATATTGATTTCTGCGAAGTGCATTATGGTATTGATATTACGAAACGCAAAGATTTTTGGGTATAAACAGACCTGCTTCAATTCACTCAAAAAAAAATACTGCTCACATTCTTCTGAATCAGAAAAAATATGCCGACTTGCTGTGAATTGTGCGTTGCTAGGGTTCAGTCATTGGTTGATAAGGGATGTATATTTATTAGGTGTTCATAGGTCTTGGCGGACCGTACGAAGGTCCAGGTCCTCTCGATGCTGTTGCCAATGGATGTTTCTACATCAATCCAAAGGTAATTGATTACTAAGTGTCAATCAAGCTATCTGTCAGCAATGTTTATTTGCAACATAGTCAGTTTGTAGTCAGTCATTAATCAGCTTCTTCTTTTCAGCTTATTCCGTCGATGAACCGAGAAAACAGTGCATTTTACTCAAGCAAACCAACCAACAGAACGGTACAGTAATGTAYAGCATTCTCTCAATAGACGCTCTTAGTGCGCTTATTCGGGTACAATTTACGTCATCTTTATTAATACTGTCGTTGTAGACATCAAACAAAGGAAGATAAAATACAATGTCTTTTAGGTAGCTTCACAGAATCCCTATACTGAGGAATTTATTGGAAAACCGTTTGTTCATACCATTGATATCAACAACGACCAGGAAGTGGAAAATGCAATAAAAGAAATACTACAGTCCAAGGTAAACAACTGTCCTCGTAGGCTTGCGAGTGAATCCATAAATATTAATATTAATTWAGTCATACAGTCATGTTTAATAAATAACATTAGTAATACTTGAGAATGAGGAGAGTCTTATGATATACCGGTGTTTCCAGGATGTTCCACATCTGCCATATGAGTTTACCCACGAAGGAATGCTTCAAAGAGTCAATACTTTCCTAGAAAATCTGGTAAGTGCTGAGAAACAAAAAATTCAAATTATACGTCTTTTTTTCCTTATATACTAGTCAAGACCGTGTTGTCTTCTTGAATGGTTTGTAGGACTTTTGTAAACCTGGTCATCAATGGCCACCATTATCACAAATGAAGCCAGTGAAAGGTCTAAAAGGAGAATCTTGCAAAAGTGTCTGCTTTAGAAATGGTAAATTTGTACGATAATTGTAAGTGCTTGAGTAGTTGTTGCCGGGTAATTGATTTTACTGTAATTGATTTCAGGATTTTTATGCGAACCAGCTTTTTTTCGTCATCTCAACGACGTTAAAATGCTAAAAAGGTACGATATTAGTAACAAACTAGTGGAAATTACAACAACAACAACAACAACAACAACAACAACAACAACAACAACAAAAACTATAACAATTAAAACCGCAATAAGATGATAGAAACAACAAAGTAACATCAAACGAAACTGTGGCGGGAGGGGTGGGGACTATATCAATCTGATCTACGTTCTATAACCTTTCTTTTTTTAGTGTTGGCCTTGGGTGCAAGAAGTTCGTTCGAGTAGAGTCAATCTACGCGCCGTCGTTCAACTCCACAGATCAAACGTGCATACTACAAGAAATGCCGTTGTTGTATAGCTGTGTAGCACATGATGATCACGTGACAAGGCTGTGTCCCTGTAGAACCTACCAGAAAGGCCAAGTAGCATTATACAAGACTTTGAAATCACGTGATGCTGACACGTGACTCCATCTGAACTTATCCGGCTGCAATTTCTGGCTGCATCGTTTTTGAACGAACGCCGACTAAAATAGTTATTTATTTTTACATTCTTTCTGATCGTTTTCATGTGTTAATAATTTCAATAACTTATATTGCTACAAATATGGTTTTGGTTATATGCCSAACTKCAYGTACGTAATAATGACCACGCAATGCGCCAAAGATGACTTGTTGTGTCAGGCATTATTTACAATCAACATATCATTTAACACTTAAATCCGCGAATCAAGAGGTTGTTTCTATGACGGATTGACATCTCTCAAGACCAAGAATCAACATTAGTTAGTTTAGTTTACTCGCAGATAACAGGTGAACGAGTTTCCCGTTGACTTTGTCAATACTGAAACGATCCCTTGCAATGATTTGGAATTCTCGTTAAAKTTTTTTTGCTATGGAATCGAAAAACATTGTTTGGAAGTGGCAACTAGTTATCATACAGGTACGGTTTCTTTTAGTATGTACGTATACGTTTTCCTCGTGGACTCTTTCCAAGTGAACGATGGTCCAAAGTAGAATAATACKCGATCAATGACATCTTTTGAAAGAGAAATTTTTGAGTTCTGTGGGATCCGGCAAAGAACGTCGATATCAAATTAGATATAACAAGGACTGATATATGCGAGGAGTAACGTTTCTACTCTTGGACAAAAAARYTCCTCTTCATTTAATTATYTAATTTTTTACCATGTTTCTAGTTTATTTCGATGGGTGGATTTAGCGCGTCGTCCGGTAAGTATAGATACATTTTTGTAACCTTTTTTTCCCCTTCACTCTTGCGGTTTTTATGGTGCTTGCAACCACTTTATTTTCACATTATTGGCACAAATCTTACTCTCACTCAGGTCAAGTTACATTTTAAAAAATGAGGCAAAATTTCATCTTTTTCAGTAATCATTCGATTTTTCGCGAAATAAAAAACAAACTCATCAAAATCAAACATGCAAGTATCGCACATTGAATGCTTTGAACTCTATAGAGTAAACAAATTCTGTAAACTGAATGTCATATAAAATCAACATTGTTCATATATTACAAAATATGTACCTATTATAAAATCGACGAATACATAAAACATCATTAGACACGGTAATGAGTATTAGTGTCATTCTTTTCTCTTCGCCGAAAAGAAAAGAAAAAGCTCATCGATATTGATTTTCCTCTGCGTTTTGTTTTGCCATTAGGTATTTTAGATATTTTTTATCATTGAAACCGATTTGTTGTGCAATCTCTGGGGTTAAAAATCAGTCAGTCACGCCCTTTTTTCAAGACTTCCGTGATCTTTTAGGGGTCTTTTTGAAAATTTCCGACGAGCATCCCTAGTACTTTTATCCCGAAGTCCCCTCCCCGGGAATAATTGTTTCATCATTCCAGACATTTTGAAATATAATCAATCATTTAATCAATAGATTCTGTCTCTKTCTGTATGAATAATATATTTTATGAAAAACGAAACATGATACAAGTTTAGCATGTTTGATTAATTTTARTGATATTGACTTGTCCAAATAAAGGCAGGGGAGGGCACCGCATCCCATGGCACCCTTCTTGGATCCGCCATTGAAGCTCATCATTTCATCTCTTCACTGATGTCGTTTTTTGACATGTATGTTTTAGGAAACATGTATGCTTTCAGTGTTGATTGTTTGGATGATTATTGCCTCTTACGAGTGAGCCCCATCTAGACTTAATTACACACTTTACAAAATTATGCAAGACGCTGTCTATGATTGTGAATACTGCAATCTTCATTTCTTTTTTTAATTGTTGTATCTCGATGATAATCGCGCTACGAAATAGCCAATGATGAGCAAGTAAGTTCGTGTCCATACTTGCAGTRGGGACAGGGGGTCAGAATGCTTGTGATCGTTTCAGGGTACCCAGCATGTGATACTGGATGGACGTCATATGGTAAATCATGTTACAAGTATTTTAATGATCCATTGAATTGGGCTCAAGCAAAGAATACATGCGAGGCTAACGGGTCACATTTGGTGACATTCAACAGTGCTGAAGAGAATGAGATCATCTATAAAACATTTGCCAAGGGAAAAACATTGTGGATCGGTCTTTATCGAAATCCCGTTTACTTCACATGGGTTACAGATGAACGTGTGCAGTATACCAACTGGATTTCTATTCCTAGTACGGACAATTTAGACGAGAAATGCGTAGAAATGACGGACTACAGTGTGTTTCATGGAAAATGGAATGACAATAGTTGTAATGTGCAGAATCAGGGATTTATATGTGAAAAAGGTATTAAAATAGCTTTGCTCGAGGTATAACCAGCTATTATGGACAGTATCAACACTCTATTTTAATAGGCGGAATATGTTGAATAACTATACCTGGATTTTTCTTTTTTAGATCACTACTTCACCGGCTTGTTTACCGTGATAAAGGGCGTGGTCATGGACGATCATGTGATCAGCGAGGATAAATCACCATCAGATATAGACTGTGTCATTCGCTGCTTGCAAACTGTCCAGTGCAAATCGGTTAACGTTTACACTCATTATTTGTTTCATATATGTCAGTTAAATGACGCTTCAAGTACAGATAGTCCATCTGAACTGACAAACGACGACAGGGCAATATATTATGAGAAAATCCCCCAATAGCCGGACCCTTTCCCTTCCTGCTTCATCCTCCTCCTTTCTTTTGAAGCTTCTTTTCAGTGTTCTTATGGCGTGGATTTCTCGTCGGCTTTKTATAGTCATTTCCTATTTCCACGCGTATATTCATTTTGCAACACTTCTTTCAGTGRGACACGAGACTATGATAATCTTACCTCATTATCTCTTGGTATCAACCAAAAATAGCAACGCTCATCACCCAATTATAAAAATAAAAGACGACAGGCCGAAAAGGGAATAAAAGAACGGCAATATTGTTAATAAGACAGACAATCAAAGCAATAAAACAAGCAAACTAACAAATTATAAAGAGTAATAATATTCATTATAAAAATATTGCAAAAAAGACAAAAACGCAAAAAGGACAGGAAGAAAAAAAAAATTATAAAAAATAAACATTCATGAGTCTCCATATGGGACTCGAACCCTTGCCTGAAACATCGAAAAAGATTGGGACGATTCCCCCGAGACATTCTGTGAAGCTGAGGCGTCGAATCGATTTACATTCCGGTTAGAGATTTCGGCTCTTCCATGCTATCCCGATAATTGGTCCTAACTTCGCGCTAACTAAAAAGCCAGTGAGGGAGAAGCTATCCGGCCCCTAGACACTGATGRATAACCCCTTGCACTAACTAGGCAACTATCGAAAGTATAATGTCAAATTGGGGTAGTCTATTCGGCGAAAGTGTCAAGTGGTCTATTATTATGTAAATGAGCATGGTCCTGTGGCGCAACTTGTTAAGGCGCTGTGCCCAAAATCCGATATTGGCAAAGTGGCTTAGGGTTCGAATCCCGAGATTGTGCATCACTTTTTTATCGAAATTTTTTATTCAATATTTCACTTTATTTCTTGTTTATTTGATTCATTTTTATTGTCATTATTCGTGTTAATAAAATGATTCTGACTTTCTAATGTGTAAGTGTATTGGGCTACCTGTGTCATTATTTTCATTTTGTTTATGTACGCACAGCCAAGATAATGATATTAGGGCAGACTCTTGTATGRTGGGTTAGCCGTTTACWTGAMTGCATTCTTGATGAGCAGGCAACAGAAGGTGGCTTACATATCGATCTAGAAAACAAACGAAATTATATTGCTGTATGATTTCATAAAGATATAGCTGTTTTATCCTAATTTCAGTATTTACTGTTTCTCAGTAAATTCTTAATTATATCGTTTGATGGTAGAAGGCTTAACAAAAATACCTTAGCAGGGGAGGGGACGTCAAACACCGTGCAGATACATTCTTTCTGCCATAGCTGTTCCCAGAATAATGCTGTTCGCTAATTTTTTCTGCAATTTATCATTTCCTTGCGGCAGATGATTACCTCCTTTGAAGAGCTGTTAAAGAAAAAAATGAAATTAATAGAAAATGGGTAAATCTTCTCCAAGAATCTGGCGGTGCTCTTCAGAAGCCGCAAGTATCACATTCCGACAATTTCTAGTACTAGACAAAATCAACGCCTAAAMTTATTTTTATACGATGATAAAGTATGTCCCTGAGCTTAAAAGATTGAGTAGATTTCGATATTCTTGAGCCTTTTAATAATATGCTTTAATATATCTCGGCAAAAATTCCACGTGATWATTCAGAGAAAACCACGCTTTAGAAACTTCTAATGGATGCACCATTGGTACGTATTTTTGACGGGTTCAAACCAGTCCAATCCAACTTGTCTTTACTTGCCATTATTTTGGATGAAATGATTTATTTAATTTTTTTTTGGAAATTTTCAGTTTCATAATAAAAAGACTGCGAAATGTGTCGGTCATGAGGCCGAGGCTGGTCTGATATCCAATCAAAACATATGTTGACGTCACGGAATATGCAAAACGGGCCATCTGCCTTGCGTCTAAGGAAGATTGTTGAACTGCTTATATATATTTCTTTTAGGATTGTACGTCCATATCTTTATTGGTCCAAAAGTTTATTTTGTTGTGTTCGACCAGTGGAGATAGCTTCTTCCCATGGCATGAACTTATTTTGTGGAATTTTCAATGGCGCAGGATTTCGCCCTGAGCAACCGAGACATAGAACTTGATAGTCTCGAGCACGRTTCAACTGGGTCTTCAACTCCTTCGGAGATCCAGGTTGGTTGTTTTATGGTTTCCATTGAATATTATCACAAACTTGGACTACTGAAGCTGTCCTATTAATTGAAGCACAAGCTCACACTTGTAAATGATTCGCTCTGTGCTGTATTGATTATGCTCAAGGAGCCTTTTTTTCGCCAACTAACCATGTTTTGTCGTTCTTCAGAGATGGCATATGTATTCCGATCGCTCAGGCCGAGTCGTTTGTAAGGTACGTGAACGGCTTTGTTTAGGTACAATGACTAGTCTAGAAACGACGTTGAAACTTTCAACCGAAAGATCTAGACAATTTTCAGTGTTTATGCTGATATTTGAAGACTGATATACCGAAGTTGAACGAGAATGAATCGTTGCATATTCTTGTAAGTTTATATCGACCGACCATCATCTTGTTCGGTTCAAAGTAACTTACTCTTCAGATTTTGAACGGTTTTGCATAATGCTCTTCCTTTTGGTTGTTTTATTACGATTTTTAAATAATATTGTTTTATTTTGTTCTCTYGAWTGATATCCTTTCGAGTTAATATGAAAATTTGCTGCCTTTTTTACTTGCATCTTGATCATTTGACGCTGTTGTGTTTATGCTCTGCCGTGTGCTTGGGAACGCGAATTTCATTTGATTTTTTTAAAGCAGAATATATTTCGATATCTTTTCTTGGAGATTCATAAAACCGAGACAAATCATTTTCTAAAAATGTTTCATAATTTGACTGCAACACTTCTTTTTTATGTGTTAAAAGTCATCTTAAATGCTGAATACAAGGGAGCCATTTTGCCATTTTCGGTTTGGTTGCTCACAAATTTCATATAAACTCGATATAAATAAAAGATCCAAATCCTTAATTATGTATTACAAAATTTCAATGGTCGATGTTTTTATCAAAGAGGAGCCAGAACATTTCAAGAGCTTCCAATATTTTCAAAATTTTCGGCTTTTTAGAGGAATTATTGAAATTTCTGCTATTTTCTAATGTGTAGTTACGGTGATACGTCGATTTGTTGATGTGATCGTACGTAGTTTATCGTTGCAACCATCTCCCAGACGAAAAGACCAAACCTTTAGTTTATAATCCTTATGTTTAAAGTCAGTAATATAAAACATGAGCTAAGAAAAACTTACTCTCTAAGGCAATAGAAAATTTAGAATCGGTTAAGTCATGTAAAGTCAAAATTTCTGACTACAGTAGCTTGTATAGTTAGRCTCAAGGTCCCCGAAAATGAGTTGAAAAAGTCACCAAAAATTATTTCACCAAGATTTTCGTTTCATTTCGTTTCCAAATGTTTATATCACATTAAAAGATATTCTCTGATATAAAAATTACATTCAGAATGGAATGTTGATAAAGAAATCAAGTTTAAAAATCAATAAAAAATATCGTTTTTCTTAAAGGCCTTATGAAATACATGAATTRAAACTTATTACAACTTGACTGTTCATTTTGTGGTGTATGCATATAGTAAATCTACACCAGAAACATGTGCACACATCAGAATTTGAACTGCTATCGTGTCTGATAATTAATACATTCATATCCAATCATAATTCAGACTCAAAAGGTGTGTTATATTTGACCAGGAAAACTTGTATGCCAGATTTTAATTGTACGGTAAWAAACATTTGATTTCCTTGGTTTATCAGTGAAATAATCCTTGTAAAATGTAGTAGGTATCACCCCACTCCCCTGATAAATCCCACATGGTATATTTTACTGATAAAACTCTCAAATCAATTGTTTATTGAAACTGAGTGCTGGTACATTTTGTGCATTTTATTCTTATACTGTCACTAATTTTTAAGATGATGTATTTTAACACACGCTCTGATTGGCTCTTACTTAGCCAGAGACATGGTTTATAAAATGGTTGGTTGTCTTTGTTGTCTGATATCGTGAGGTGTAAAAAGGCAGAGAACAAACTCTTGCTATACTTATGTTTCTAATACATCTTCTCTTGCTCTCCTACCGTGTTTACTTCAGAAAAAAGAGACATGCGCAGCAGTTCTATATTTCTTATAAAGCAATTATACAACATGCTTGGGATTCTTTGCCTTTTACAAACCTTCTAGAAATATCTAGAATATTCAAAGCTTCAATTCTATACCATGCAGGCTCATGCTTGGCTTGCTGTACTATCTTATGAATTGCTCTACTTGTTGTAACATCCTAGTAAATTACTCTTAATCATCAAAAGTCATGTTTTTTGATAGAATAGSGTTAAGATAACCTTAACTCTTGTCTCTTTTTCTGGGGTTATTTTAACCATTTTGCAAAACAGATATGCAATTCTGTGTTGTTGGAAGTTTTAGGTGTTAAATGTATTTTTTACATTATACTTCTGGTTTACCTTATTTTTTATTGTTTGATATCAAAATACCTTCCTACAATAATATTTTGGTATTTATTTACTTTGAATTCACCTTCATCAAATTGGCTAATCCATTGTTATTGTTTTTATTTAAAAAAAACATGTATGGATATGATAAACTAATATGTTATACATGTAAAATCACAACTTTATGAAGCCAAAAAAATCTGCAGAGAACATTGAGCAGATTACCAAAGTATGCACATTTGTGTTTTTCTAAAAACTGTGAGCTTTAATTATAACATTCTGACATTTGCACTAATGACTGTCATGTAGAACAACTTAATAAAATAATGGAATAATAGTTAAAATATCATAGTTTATGTTGACTAAAAAACTTTTCAAATTTTTGCGTTACAAAGTCTACACATTTGGTTAAGCATCTTATTGTTAATTTACTCATCATAATGCCATAATGTTACATGTAAGTGATTGTACTTGCCATTGCAATCATTAAAAGTGACTATAAACCATAAATAGATGSTACATGTATAATCAGAGTTATGGTATGATAGCATTTTTGGTACAGATATCAATAATTTCTATTAAATATCTATTAGTAAATAGAAAAAAAGGAAAGTCATATTTTACCTGTTGCTTTAACAATCAGACACAAATTCTTTTGCCATTCAAAACATCCACCTTCTTGTTGAACATTCCACTTTAAACTGTTTGGCAACCTGTTGTGGGTTAAGAGGAAAAGTTGTTTCAAAGTGTCACACGTAGACCAATCTAGTCATTGTTACTAACAATACAAAAAGAATTATCTGATTGCAAATGGCATGTAGTCATATGAAAGATGGGGAACACTGACTCTGTCCAGAGCTTCACAAAGGTAAAGTGTTTTAATTTTACCCTTTGAGCCAAATAGAACAGGTTTAATCTGTAGATATTCAAGACATTGTTCATTTTCTAAGAAGTGATGAGCAGTGAAGCATAAATTAATGCATATATAATACTGTTTGTTTTCAGTGTCTAGTTATACAGTTATTAGGGTCTGTTATAAACTACTATATATTACTTCATTTTAGGACTTAAAAATCACTCATAGAACYATCCTCTGCAGCAATGAAAACAACATTTGTCATCTAAACAGGAATTATATCAAATAGGTCTTAGAGAATCATAACCAGTTTAAAACATACAGAATTATACAAAATATCTGATTACATGAAATTCCTGAGATATTGATTGGATGAGCAGAATAGACTGGCTTGTTGTGAATTACTTAACATCCAAATCATGCTTAAACCAACCTGGATTCCTAAAAACTTAACTAAAGGYTTAGGTAGTAAACACAAGAGTATTTTGGTAAGTATTTTGTTTACACACAACGACATCTGTTTTAAAGGTAGATTTACAGCGCCTTTCTATGTACTGTCTGTCTGTTTGGTTCATCTTTCAGCAATGATTTATACCTTTCTCTAGYATAGTATGCTTACAAAATGTTACTAGAATATTATAGATTACATTTAGTGCGTACTTGTTTTTAACTAGTGTCATTTCAATGTCAGATTTTGAGGTGTTTAATATATTATTGATCTCTGCATGTGTATGCCATTTTGATCACCACTTATACCTTTACAAAAGGAATATTCCCTATATAGTACAAAATGCACTTGTTGGACAGTATAAAAGTCTGTRAACTGCCTAAACTGCATCTTAATTTACTACTAATATTCTTAGGGTCCTTTATTATTGAGATATATAATTTACATTTTATGTTGCAATATTTAATCTGTCTGATGTCAGGGCAATTTGAATTTCATTTATCACTATGCAACCCTGTATTTATAGCACAGTAAGCAACCCAGCAAGGTATTAGTAACCAAAAAGTAGGGTATTTTAAGTGGTTATTATCACAATAGGATTTAATTCTAGAAAMGTTTCCATCTCAATTAAATTATTCTTGGACAATAATAAAATATTTTTTACTAGAAAATTCCACTTGAAGCAAGAATATGATTATTAGAAATATGGATTGAATACAGWCTATTTGCTTATGCAAAATTCATTTTTGCAGGACTTAGTCAATTGTTAGAKGGTCTTAAGCACTTGTAATAAGCTTAAGGCTGTTTAATTTAGAATACATGAATAATATATATAAGGTCAAGGTTGTAAATTTCATAGTAGATGGATTAGGTAGTGATTTAAGTACAAAGCACTTCATATGGTAATTTGTACTACTCAAATTTTAATATTCCAAGTGTTTGATTATTCACTTGAATTTGGTTAGCAATAAATGGCTTATTTTAAAGATGCTCACTGAATTGTTGAAAAATGTTATGAAATAATGGAAAGAAAAATAATTTAATCTTATTTTTTTCTGTGTGCCAGTCGATTATCATGAAACTTGATACTATAAGTTAGAATTGGCATGAACAGTTAAAGTTTGATGGTTTTGATACACAAGTTATTGAGCTCAGCCAAGTATTGGAACTATAAGACAGTATATTCAAAAGCTTGAAGTGCATTAGGGAAGAATTCTTGGAGAGCAAACATTAGTTTGTTTATAATGAATTCAGTAGTTGATGTTTTTCGTAGCTTTCTTGCTGACAATCRAAACAAAGGCAAAAATGTAAGTAATTTATTATAATTTGACATAATAACAATTGTGCAAGAAAGGAACTGTAAGTACTGTGAATTCTTAGTGTACATATATTTTGTGATTTTCATTAATGCATTAATTGTAGATTATTTTTAATTTACTTACATCTAAATCTCAATGAAAGGTCAGAACATTTTATTTTTGGTTATGTTAAGCAGTTATATAACTTTTGTTAAACTATTATTACAGTCATTGTATTTATATTAACATCATTATGATATTGGTAAAATTAATCATAATTGTAAAATGAATTAGATTTTTTAGTAATAGTAAGCATAACTTCAGATACATTGTACAAAAAAAGTAGAGTATAAATCTAATTAAACAGCGTAAAAAATTTCTCAAATACCTTTGTCATCTAATTTTGTGTTTTTTATTTGGCATTGAACATGTTGAAATATCTTGGTATTCAGCATTTAAACCTGTTCAGCTTCACCTACAAGTATTAACATATAGTAGCAGTAACCATGACAACTAACAGGTAGTTACCATAGTTACAAGCAGGTACTAACCGGTGGCTGAGTAATTCTCAGGACTTGTTCTAAGTTCTTTTTAAATTTGAAGCGTTATAATAATAATTAATGTAGACATTTGCAGATATGTAAATACTTTCCTCTTGTTCATTATTTGTAGTTCTTATTCTCAGATATACTTTTCTGGTTGAGTATTTTTTTAATTTAGACACACTGTAAGAAACTCAGMAAAGATGATAAAATGGGTTGTAAATATCTCTGTTAAATGTAAAATAATTGGCTTTGAATCAAGGATACAACAGTTAGCTCTTTTGTCAATGGAAAAGGACAATATGTTATGGGAGTGGCACAGAATACTTACATGTAACATTGCTTGTAGTAAAGTTTAGCTGTGATCAAATCCCTTTATTATTAATATTTAAAAAATGCATTTTAAGATTTACTTTGCATTTATATCAATGCCAACAGGTTGATGGAAGTTAATTTTTTTCTATTTTTGTATCAAATTATTTTCACATTTCAAAGTTTTCAAAATGCAGCATCTTTGATCACAAATTGTTAGAAACAATCTCTGATATAATAGTGTACATGCAGGTTTGTTCATGCATGTTGATAATAAGATGCATTAGGCTTGATGCCAAAACATTACAGGTACTTGGAAAGCTTTATTTGACTGTGCCATACGTTGAGTAAAGCTGCTGAATTGTGTCTTCTTAGACATCTTGTCCATCTAAATTTATCGTTATTATCGTTGTTAGTATCTCTTTGATTGGAAACTACTTGTGTTGTTAAAAGAGCATCTTTAGTAGATATAGCTTGGTTTTGTAAGCAAGAACAGGGTAGAAAATGGTAAGTTTGATATAAGATTGAATGACATTTTACAATTYTTTGCAGACTGAGACACACAGTATTGAATTCAAATACTATCCAAATAAGCACAGATAGATAGCATATGTTGTGCTTTTGAACTTACAGAAATAATAATCAGAAAGTCATTCATTAGGTATATTTTAGAAATATAATAATATTTTAGAAATAAAATATAATAGTACCCTAGTCACAGTAATTTATGTGTGATTAGAACCCACTGGTGGTTCTTTGCATATTGTATTCTTAGCACTCAATGTTGTTCATCCTAAAAACAGTTCTTTAAATGTAAAGCTTTGGTAAGAAATTTGTTAAGACATACACTGTATATAAGGCAAAAATTAGTATTCTAGAAGATTTCATCARTCACACAACAAGTAGGGGCTTCTCTAAACTTCAACATCAAGCTTCATCTAAACATTGTTATTGAGAAATGAAAGTTCTGGAAAACACAGATAGAAAACCTTAAAAGCATTTATGCTCAAGATAACAATATTTTTACCACCTTTTATAAGATTCTGATAACTGTTTCTGTCTCTGATGAAATACTTGTATGATAACTTAGCAGCAAGAAATTATTTTTAGTATAAGTTATGTGAAGATTTTTATCTGATTAACCTATAACCACTTATTACTGTATTGGCTGTCAATTTGTTCCTGAAAAAACCCTTGCAACCCAAAGCTTAAGACTTTTTCAGTGGTAAGGCTAATCGAATTAGCTAAATTACATGTTACAATGAATGAAGTAAGATGGTATTATTTAAAAATAGCAAAGTCCTTTTGTTTGAAATCAAGTGAAGTATGTTTTTCTCTTTGTTTGTCTAGTAATTACCTATTGTTAGGTTTCTAAGGTTTGCCATCTTATCATCAAGAATAAGCTATATCAAGGATATTGTGTGTTTTTTTACTATTTCTAGTAGTMTTTTAGATGTTGATTTTATAATTTTATATAGCTTTATTCAATTAAAAAGGCTTTGTAATATATACTTACTTCAGGATTTACCATTAAAGGGTTTTTCAAGCACTGTCAGCCTCAAGCCATGCTATATACTGGTCAATCCATTTATATGTGTTTTCAAATGTTTGATCTTCAATGAAACTGGTAGAAAATAGATCTTCTTTACATGTAGAAGAATTTCTTGTTCTTTGTAAAAAATGTAACCACAATAGAATTTTGTGAGACTCCAAAATAAAAGATTTATAATGTGCACATGTGTGATTGGGTCAGCTGCATCGACTTCAAATGTTCAACAGCCAATCAAAATAAAATGCTATGATTTTATTAACTTTAGCTATTATTAACTGAATACCGCATTTAGCAATTATTTAAAATAATTGTAAAAATAATTGTACTTAGAGGGAGTAAAGAATGCACAATCCAGTGTCATTTTGGCTACTCAAGTTTTACCCATAAATATCAAAGAATATCATTACAGATCTTCATTAATAACAGTATTGACTGCCTTTCATCGGTGAATTGTAGTATCAAGACTCAAAGTAACTTTTGCAGACAATATTTTGTAGAAATTGTTATACATATAAAGGGTTTCTTTGTAGGACCTTGAAAAAAATGCAAATATAGATGATAGTAATAATCCTCAAATATATTACATAATAGTTCTTAGTAATTCTTTAAACCACTGAATGGAGATAGTGGGTGTTGTAAGATTTTATATCCCCACTAAAAAAGTCTAAAACAAGTAAATTTGTTTTAAAACTCTCAGTTCCTTAAATATTGCAATCTGCAAATCTCCAAAAATTGAAAATCTGCAAGTAAAAAAKTGAGGAAATCCATTAATCTAAAAACCACCATGTCCCACTTTGACAGTGTTTTAACTGCCTACTTTATACCTAGAATGCTTTTAGTATTGGGAAATTGTCTCATAACTTGTTTATAAWATAATAATTAAAGAACACACAGTATAACCAAGTAATTATGACATGGAAATGACAGTAATGATAGAGTTAAGTGGAAGATTGGAGTGGTGTAGAGATCTTTCTAAGTGAAGATGAGTGGAATTAAAGTAAAGTGGAGTAGGGAACAGTAGAGTGTATATTTTTAAGTTATTTTAAAGTAGCAAATGAATAGTTGCCTTAGATCTCGGGGTTGATGTATATGGTGTAAATTACTTATTTATACATTCTGTCTATACTTGCCTAACAGCGTATATACATATGTATGACACTCTATATGTATGACACTCAATACTTCACAGAAGCTTACAAAAATACTCTCTTATAATAGTACATTCTTTCAAAAATAGCTTCAWATGTGGTGATAAGTACTTTATGATATGTTCTTGTTAGGTTATTTTTACAATACAGTTTTACTAGTAGTTGAGAGAAGCAAAGCATACATCCAGACATTCCTTTTGTTTAGCCAGATATTGAAAGAATTAAACAAAAAACTATRATAATGATAATTACAAAGACTATTTTTAAATCCAATTTTGCATAAATATTTTTTCATCTTATATATATTTTTTCAGTACTTTTTGCGGTGAGATATTATATTTAGGTTTTTTTATAAGATATAAAAGTCTTTTCGTAAATTGTTGTCAACTAATACCTGTTTGATGCACCCATTATGAATGGTGTGAAAATTGATTAAATTTATCCTTAACTTCCTTTTAAACAATATTGCAATCAGCTGTTTATTACTTCACGCCGTGGGTAGTTACATGTATTATAAATCTAGACAGAATATGTTTTTCTCACTTGACCATCTGTTTCTGTTTGTCAGAATCTCTGTAATGTTGTWCTATATTATTGACATTTTATGTGATTAAAGACATCAATAAAGTAAGATGTAAAGTAAATAACTTGGAATTCAATCTTTTTTATTATTTACACCATAAATACTAAGTATCTTTGTGCGTAAAATAACTTTCATTCTGGTCGGYTAAATGTTGAAGTGGATTGTGATCCCAAACCTTTGGTCACAATATACAGCAGTTGCTAATCCCATCAACTTAACCACACATCCCAAAACTATGTTTGAACTTAATGTGTGATATTGTAAGTAATGTGGGCTATATTTGTTGAGATGGTTTTTAAGCCATAAATAATCATGATGATGTCATACATGTAGCTTTATGTGTCTGACCAAGTACAAATTGTTCATCATTGACCCCAAGCATGGGCTTACTATTTTGGTGTGTGTTGGAACATGGTAATCCATGCAACAAAATTTTCTAGAGGTATTGATAAAAAAACATCAGACAATGACTTGGTTCATCTTGTAATGGATGACGCTTATGGTTATTGTGATGACTTCAATACCTGGGGGAGCTTGTTAGAAGACCCGCTTTTAGTGAGTATTTAGCAGCTTTGTTAATCTACAATTTTCATTATTTTATGAACCTTGAAATGTTTGTGTTTTTAAAGCAAAAACAATGGTTTGTAGTTTTTACCAAATTCAACTGTAAATACGTGTATATTGTTTCGTAGATTTGTGTATCTGTTTATTTTAGATTCATTACAACCTTATCTTATCTTTCAATTCCTGAAACCAATAATGGCACTTATACTGCAACAAAAATCACTTAAATGTGATTTTAGTTTTGATTTTTGGGGTTATTGTCTTTGAGCTTTGGGCTCAACAAACCAACAATATTATGTCTTTGCAATTTTTCATTGAGTCTTTACCACAAAACCACTCTTCAGAAGCTTACCTGTTTTTTTGAATTTCTGTGTTTGTGTAAATTCTACCTATGTAGCTAATTTCTACAGTTAAGTATACTAAAGTACTTTGCACTTTTACACAAAGAATTTGTATCGTCTTTGGACTGTTTTTTTACACTCACACTCTCTGATGTAGTATGATGATGCAATGTAGTTTTATAATCTATGTTGTAGACTCTATACCAACTTAAATAATATCCAACTTGTAAAATTGTCCAGTTTTCTTTCTAAAATTTGTTGTTTGATTCATGTTATTTTCCATATTCATTTGTTTTTTAGCCAATAGATTTTGTAGTGTAAGATTTTTGCTTGGCTAAGAAAAGTGTTTTTTATTTACACCCACAACTTTATCCCATCAATAATAAATAAGTGAAGTTACCCTCTGTGGCTGTATTATTTGCATTTCATAAAGAACATAACCAGTTCAAAAATATCATCAAGATTGCTTTTCTAATATTCACACTAAAAAGATTTGACATGAAACAAAAATATATTTCAATTGCTGTTTTTTTTTTTAACATTTCATCTTTGCGTAAGTCTAATGTTGATTTAATATGTAAAATTGATTCCTTTTTTGTCTTGGAAAGATACATCATGGCGTAGAACGTACTGAAAATGATTATATTTGCTTTATACTGAAAGCTGTGAAGTTTGTGATACACCTATTAGCTGGATATAAACCTATCTACGTTTTTACACCTCAGCATCGTGTTTGTACCATTTTTGATTCAATAGAACCCCTAAGCATTCAATTAAAAGATGTTTTCCCAAGGTGTTTTAGACATCACTGTGACTTGTATTTTAAAAGTGATTTACATAATCTGTTATGAAAATATGTTAATTAAAATGAGATGAGGAAGAATATTCTAGTAGGGTCCAGTATTAGTGAGGGCTGTACTGAACAACAACAACACTGTAGACACCAGGTGATATAATGCATCTATATGACTGGGTAAGAGGACCATGTATACATTGCCTTTGTTTCTCCACAAATTGAAAACATGTATCATAATAAACAACTAAACAGGGAACTTCTCTTAAAGATTCCATCTTGTTGGGTTTTGTTATTAATTTTTTACAAATTTCAAATAGCTTTTATAGGGTGTTTGGTCCTGTGAGGTCAAGGTTTCACTTCACTGAATATCAACAGTATCTGTTGTGTGAATTGACTACATTAATCACAGTTTTCTATTTCTTAACACCTATAATAAGAATGAAACGCTTTTGCCCAGATATCTTACAGCTGAAAAGAGTGTCTAATTGGTAATACATTGCAACATAGAAAAGACTGTGATGCAAATGTGACCTGTTCCACTTAACCTAAAAAAACTATTTTATRGAAAAAAGAATGATTGCTAAACTATTAATTGTGTTCACTAGTGAAATTATGATGTTAATTTTCATTAGATTCAAGAAGATCTTTGGGCCAGCTTCTGCAATGTCTTCTTATCTTTAAATTTGTGCTGAATATTATACAGACATTATATATCTATTCATGCAGAAAAACAATTCCAGGCCATGAATTATAATGACAAAAACCTCAAAGTTTTAGATAGAAATGCAAAGGTGTTTTGAACAATACCACTTGGGTTATGATCATTATTTCAACAAAATATTTGCATTTAAATGTTTAATGTTGGTCTATAATGCATATATATGAGCAAAATAAWCTTGACAATTAATTGTTAGCTATATTAGTTTTCATTTAGTAAACAGTTTAGATGATATAGCTTGCTAATGCTTGAGGCATTTTTTGCACCTATTTCTATCTTTAATGCTTCAGTGTTTTGGAGGGTAAATATTCTATGTAAACTAAAATTCTAAACTCATTAAACTCCAAACAAGACCATGTTAACTATTAATCAGATGTTGTAGGTTTTGTGGGCKATTATGAGTATCTAGATCACAAGCCTCTCTTGCCACATCTACCAATCCATGATTACTTCAAACTAGTAGCTATAATGAAAGCTTTGTAAGAATTCCATGAAAATCCTTAGGCAAAGTAGATTTTATATTTCAAGCATCTGTGTGTTGTACATGTTGGGATTCATCCTATGAAACCATTAAGCTTTGTATCCCATATGAAATCATCTGACAAGGACAAACTGTTGGTGAGCTATTTATGCAGTAAATAACTGTCATTTAGAAAAATTGTTTCTTCATGGAATATTATCATAAAAGTTTTAGATTTTAAGGTTTTCTTGAAGGAACAAATTTAGAATGAGGGTATATATGCATTTAATTAACACGTTATGGACTTTCATGGTTAGAATTTTTTCTGGAGACATTTTAATTGCTTGAAAATTCTGTTCAGATAGAATTGATATTAGGATTATCAGTTTTAGAATTGATGGTAGAATATTATCAATCTTTCAATTCTTTCATAATTTGTGTAACAAAGGTAAATATTCTGTTTGAATTCGTAGAATTTGTATAACCTAGGCTCAGACAAATTGAAATTATTATTTTAGTCTATACATTTAATTGTGCAAGATGAGAGATAATGTTTTAATACAAAAGAGTTCGGGCAAGGGTTATAGAAGTAGTTTAGGAATTGTTTCTGTGTTTCAAATCAGATATTTATGATTAAAATCTTAATTGTTGTTAAACACCGGTATTTCAAGTAAAACACCAGGAAATATTTTTCGTCAATTTATTTCAATTTAACTATCTCTTGTAAGTAAAATAATGGTTTTTCTGATATCAATTTTTAAACTTTAACATTATATAAGTAGATGTGAGCATGCATCCAAATGAATACTTACACAATGGCAGTGATGGTCTAAAATGCCTTTACTACAAACTTGTACAGGTTGTAAAGACCTCAGTTTACAGTCAATGATTGTTTGTTACTTGATTATTGTGATGTAGTGTCAATGAATATGTATGCCACTTCTAAGCATGGTATTTTGTTGTTTTCTTGCAGGACTCAGAACCTGCTTACAGAGCCTCTGATACAAGTAGTGTTGACGAAGATAAAGAAACATCAAGAAGAGAACTTGAGAGAAGAGCTTGGGAAGCTTTACAAGCTGCAAGGGTAACTACAATCACTTTTTACATTAAAATAAATAGATTCAATGGATGTTTAATGTGAAATAAAATGTGAGTGAAATAACTTTTGCTGATCTTTTTTCATCAGTATACCAGGGCTTTGCATTACTTTATTCATGTAGCTTCATGTGAAGTAATTGATTGAATAATCCTGTTTGCTTTATCTACATGTAAAGCACATTGTTTTTTTCCTGGTTTATTTATATGAGTACTGTAAATGTGAATAGGTTTTTTCTGTAAATGATTTTCAGTAAATTGATTAACATGATATTTTCATTTTTTCTTTAGTCCAAGCCAGTAGCTTTTGCTGTTCGTACAAATATTGCATATGAAGGCAGTGAAGATGATGATTCCCCAGTGCATGGGGCTGCAGTCTCGTTTAATGTCAAGGATTTTCTTCATGTAAAAGAGGTATGCCTATTTACTGTATTTTGCATTAAATAAGGATATGACAATATATTATTAGTAGAGTTAGAACTAATTTTCTCTTGTTCTTATTTTTAATGTTCTTTTTTTCTCTCTCTAGAAATTCAATGATGATTGGTGGATTGGACGAGTTGTCAAGGAGGGTTGCGATATAGGATTCATTCCRACGTAAGATTTTTTAGTAAAACTGTCATGCTTGATATATTATGTGCCTTGATTTCTTTTAGCCTATGTCTACAACAACAGCCACAATAATAGTTTATTTATTGTCTTAAGAATACAAAAGATTGACGGGTTATAGAGGGATTAAAATGCAGATATGACTAGGGTGTTGTTGTRGGTTATCAAATCTACACAAACAACTCTACATCAGAACTATTTCATTAAAAATAATTAATTTTTTTATCTAAAATTACCTCCWTAATTTCAGACCAAGTAAATTAAAATCACTTCAACAAGTGGGACCAGCAACAGGSGGCCGTCCTGTGCGAGGCAGCTCAAAGTGAGTATGAATGACCTCCTAATCCCATATATACTCATATCATAGTCATTATGTCCATTTATTGTGGGCTCCACATCAGTCACATGTCTGCTGTTAAGGTTGGTTGTAGTTGTAATATGTACTTGTTTTCTGCCTTTTCTCAACTTTAGCTAATTCAATTAAATTATCACTTAAAGGAAGTGTGCATTGCACTCAAGACAGCTATGTACAGTCATTAAGCAGGAATTGAATTAGCTAGTTCCTTAGTAGTCTGTGTGTGAGGCCTGTAGATCATGTTTGCATTTTCACCTTTAAAGTCCATTATGGCATAGATCACTGATCATCAGTACAAAACACTTGCACATACTCACAGTTAAAAATGCATTCCAATTTAAAAATTAATCATAAAAGCAATATCTTGCTTCTTTTTTTTATTCAGCTTTTAAATATGTATTTTAATCAGCTTTTAAATTGTAACACATAACAATAAATCCATAAAGCTCCCCTCTAATCACCCTGTTTCCATATTTGATTTATGTGGTCKTGTGTTGGATGGGTTTCCTRTGCTTTAYCAGGTTCTAACAGGATCAGCGCTTTATCCTTTCTTCTGTCTTTACAACTTTGACGGTCAGTGTTGGTTTCTTGGCATTTGCCATCCTTTTAATTCCTTCTTGTTTTCAATTTTAATTTCCTTACAAAGTTCCTGACCAACTGTTACAGTGCATGCTATTGTGTGTCCTTGTAAATGCTTGTTAATGCATGTTGTCATGCTAACGTAAAAGGTATTATCTGATATAATTGCATAACAATACAAAAATGGATATCACTTGCACACATTAATAATAGTAATTATAGTAATTCAACTGAAAAAAATATGTTTTGAATTAGCCATTTCTTAATAGAAGTTCCTATATTTTGCTATCACTTTTAAAATGGACATTAAAATCCAGTAAGATGTAAGCAAATAAAGTATCTTAACTGTGTATACAGTTACACATTGTCTAATAAAAGGGACGTCTAATATCTAATACATGTCCTTGTGAAGGTTAATGTCATTCTGTTGTGGTACTATACAGGACATATAACAGGGATATTGTAATGTAGTGTTCATGTTATCATGTATTTCTATTACATATTTGAACATGGTTTCTGGTCTGAAAGGTAGCCATGCTTTAGCTTCAAAGCAAGACAGCTTGCAATGATAGAAATATAATTATATGAATAATCATTGCAAGCTCACCTTTGTCTTGCATGAATGTACAGAAATAGCTGCCTTTTAAGAAGGTGCTGGGAAAGATGCCATTTTAATCCTACATGTCTGTCTGTCTGTCTGTCTGTGTGTATTTTTGTAAGGGTATATGTTATTGACAGCATAGTCAAACAGAATATGAATATGTTATGATAAATGCATAGATTTGTCAGCATGAGATTGCATGGTTATCTATCAATGTAGATATTGATGGTGTGAATACCTGAGTGATGGCACATAACCTGTGAAACACAAACAAATCAATGCTCAGTTTTTTGCAGTCTTAATCTGGACTGCAGCGTAGTAAGGGTAGTAATTGTCTAATATATAGAGTATAGATAGTGTTGTGACTGTTTATGGGTTAAGTGTTATCATGCACAGATACTTCTGGGCCAAGTTGTCCAGTGCCTGAYTAGCATTAATCCATTGTTACCTCCAGGGTTGTAACAGTTGACATAGGATTAGTGTTGATTGAGCTTTTAACAATGCGACCCAGTAAGTGTAATACTCAGGTATTCCATCAAAGAGACAGCAGAATCATGTTGATTGCCTGGTTGGTTTGAAAGAATGAGTAGCTTATTTTACCGCATGAACTAATAACTGCTATGACAAAGTGATGCAGAATGCATTTCTATATACCCATGTAATTATTTCTGTTGCATTTTTCTCTCAGTGGTTTTTGTGTAACATTTCTTGACAAAGTCACCAATGTTCATTGACAAACCTTGACAAACAACAGACAATAATATATCCCACTATRTTGATATTTTATCTTGTTTATTATAAAACTCTGAGAAGATGCGTTAAGTGTTTTTAAATRGCACGTCAGTATAGCATTATATTTACCTATTATTAATGATAAGTATGATTAGAATATAATGTTTGTACATGTGTTAATGTTTTTTTGGTTTTTGCTGAATCACAGRACAGTTTTTCATTTTAATGATATGGTCAATCAAGCTCAGTCCCCAACAAATACATCACCATCACGGCATTCTTCAGCGTCAGGTCAGTATTCACTAATACTACAACGCCACAGGGATGTTCTTTACCTTTTGGGGACTATTGGTAATGATYSACAAACCAACATAAACCATGACACAGTRAAAGGGGAAAATGYCATCAGATTTGCTGCAAAGRSCATCCATTGTCAAAYTTATTTTGTTGTGTTGAACTTCGATGTGTGTTTTACTAGTAGTTGATGCTGAGAATGGAATGGAATATAATGAAGAAGAGCAACACAGTCCCACAAGCCCAACTAGCAAAACTTCTACTTTACCAAGRTCAGCTTCAGGTAACACAGTTACCTCACAAAGCGCTCCAGGACAGCAAGGAAAAAGCAAAAAAGCATTCTTTAAGAAGGTAAGTGCTGCAGTTTTATAACAGTGATGAGTTTTCTCTAAGTTAATGGTTTTGTGTTTTTTTTAATAGCAAGAACAACTACCACCTTACGATGTGGTACCATCAATGAGGCCTATAGTATTAGTAGGGCCTTCACTAAAAGGATATGAGGTARGACAAAGGCTTTGTACTTATTTCAAGGTGTCTTTCACTGCATATAACCAAAGCTATCTGCATAGTGTTTGAGTGGTATAAGSTCAAAYATTATAAAATAGTACAATGGCTAATATTACAAACCATTGCAGGTCACTGACATGATGCAGAAAGCTCTTTTTGACTATATGAAGCATCAATTTTCCGGGAGGTATGGTTTACCGTTTCTTGATTAAAACGTGTTAGTATTACATCTAATGAATTACATTGACACCCTAGGGTTCTTATTTCACGCGTGACTTCAGATATAAGTCTAGCAAAAAGGTCGAATTTGGCCAATCCTAGTAAGAGGAACATTATTGAAAGGAGCAACAGTAAAAACTCTGGCTTGGGTAAGGATTTCTTCATTGATTGTAATCCATGTTTGACCTGCATATGTTTATTTATGTGTGTTATGTTCGACAGCTGAGGTTCARCAAGAAATTGAAAGAATATTTGAGCTTTCTCGCGGGCTCAACCTCGTTGTTTTGGATTGTGATACAGTAAATCATCCTACACAACTTGCCAAAACGTCGTTAGCTCCCCTTGTAGTGTATGTCAAAATATCGGCTCCCAAGGTAAGACTGACATCCTCAATAACACAGTCCGACGATGTGTACTTTTCAAAAAACGAACAAATAAACAAACAAAAACACATTTATGTGTCATAGTCATTAGTAATTTGATTTAGAATCCATGCTCAAATGTTGTTTTCCTTTTTTAGGTCCTTCAGAGACTTATTAAAACTCGAGGAAAAACTCAATCAAGGGCTCTCAATGTCCAACTTGTGGCAGCAGAAAAATTAGCTCAGTGTAGTGAGGTAAGCATGTCTCGATTCCCGTCTCCTTCAAATGTCTAAATGCGGTTTTGTTGTTGTTGTTGTTGTTCTTATTGTTATTGTTGTTGTTGCTGTTATTGCTGTTATTTGTTGTTATTGTTGTTGTTATTGTTGTTGCTGTTATTGTTGTTGTTGCTGTTGTTGTTATTGTTGTTGTTGCTGTTGTTGTTACTGTTGTTGCTGTTGTTGTTGTTACTGTTGTTGCTGTTGTTGTTGTTACTGTTGTTGTTGTTGTTATTGTTTTAATCCATGTTGGTTTATTTTCAGGACCTTTATGACCTTATTCTCGACGAAACGCAATTGCAGGACGCATGTCATCATTTAGGTGAATTTTTGGAAAGTTATTGGAGAGCTACACATCCTCCAAACCAGCCGGGAAGCCGGCCTCCAAATATGCAACAATCGACCCCTCAGTACAACGTGATTGAAGCTGGTGAAAGACCAAGTGTATACCTATAGGGGACAATTTTTTGATGACCTTGTTCAACAGAGGAGCTAATTTACTGTGTATGCTCGTTTCTAATAGCGTGATCCACACACGTTCTCATTCATCATTCATTGCTGTCTATCGACGGTAGAAATCCTTTTCTGCACTTAATGCCCGGACATAATCGTGGGAGTTCATATTATAATTCGAGCCACGAACTATTGGAACAAGTGAGTTCCTCAAGACTGAATGGATCCTTTAGCAGCGTTGATGCCGCTAAAACAAAACAATTTGACAGGACTTGAACTGGTTTGGTTTTTCAAGTGCTTATCAGCTATTATATGTTCAAGGCTTGTTTGACAACTATCTGTAGGCCACGTGGTCAAGTAGGGCGTCCGCCCAGCACGTGGTACCTTATTTTAGTATAAAGCATATATTATTAGTTTCTACGGTGGGGACGTAAGGATTATACCACACTTTCCATCGGACCAAGAGAATGAAAGAATTCAAGCCCACTTAAGATAATGTATTCGGGCCTCGTTTGTTGACCTCTCTGTATTTATTTACCAATTAAGTTATACTGGTCATTCTTCTTGGTCGATGGAAAGTCTGGTATGTGGTCGATCATGGTTCGACATTCTCCCTATCCTTTGAACTAGAGCAATTTTAGGCACTAAATAGGATAGGCATAGATGCCTTGAATATTGCCGTAGCCTGCGCAAGTAATTCGACATTTCTTTTGTATTTTTCATTATTATAAATATATTAAGACATTAGTGGTTAATGCATAAGCCTGACCGCTCAGATGTACCAGGTGGGAAGTAGAATATTTTGCAAAATAAGATGAAGCGTGATTGTTGCCAGACAAACGTCTTGTGCACCAGAAAATAACGCAAATATGCGAATGGAAATCAATTATAAATTTACAATTTTCTTGGCTTTACTTGGTAATAAAAACCTTTAAATTTCAAAACCCTTAAATTTTGAACATATAATATATTAGACTAGCTTTTGTAAGATTATGAATATTTCGTTGAAAAAGTTTCCACCATTGGCACTTGACAATGAAGGATTCCTTAAGAAGATCGAGCGTTGCCTATTGAGCACGTGGCTTATTGACCACGCCCTTACTAATATAATAAACCATATTTTCTACAAGTTCCAATGAAGCTTTGTAACTCGTTCTCAGGCCACACGTGCTTGAAAGGCAACGCTTTGTTGGTAGATAAGCAAAAGTGCTGGTGTTAGATCGATTTGATAGAAATATATATTAGTACTTTTACATTTATGCATCTAACACAGGAAATATCGGATATTGGAAGGCAGGAACTAGTGTATTCAACCAAATTGAATGTACTTTTTACCATGACAAACAAATATTCCCTAAAAACAGAAAATTTTGAAAGGAAAACAGTTTCTGGCGCTCTCTGGTATCAGATACTTGGTATGTATTTACTAGTCAAGGTGTCGGAACGTCATGGTATAAGGTTCACTGCCTTCCTTGTCCGATTCTATTCTTCATTAGTATTGTAGTTTGTGAATCCAACACCACTTCGCTTTGTATGAAATTCTCAGTTCATTCGGAAAAGAATTATGAACTCATTTGGAAGCTGTGAGTCATAGATATTACTCTTTAAATCTAATACCTTGCTTATTCCAAATAAAACAAATTAATCTACAAAATGTTTTTGAAGTAATTCTTGTTTCTCGCATTAGCGCACGCGCTTCCAATAATTATTTGATTACCGGAAATGAATATTATTCAGTCATTTAGATTTGCGGTCTAATCACCACAATTCAGGCGTGCCCAAAAGCTCTCCTTGGACATATTTGTCCCASAATTTTCTGTTTGATCGCTTTATCGAGCGAGGACTGGACCGAGTATGATCCGCGTCCATTGGGACTGGTGACCAATGTAAAATTTGTYAAGTCATCCGCCATATTGTAAAAGAGAAAAAAAAGTTGATTTCAAAGAGCAAACACACAGATATGCCAGGTCCAGAAGAACCAATAACTACAGTTGTTGTTCACCCTATAGTTCTGTTAAGTGTAGTAGATCATTTCAATAGAATTGGAAAGGTTGGTAGCCAAAAACGTGTTGTTGGTGTCCTACTTGGTTCAAGGAGAAAGGGAGTTCTAGATGTATCAAACAGTTTTGCTGGTAAGGATTTTAACTTAATTTAGGTTATATTAAATCATTTGTAGCATTCAATATGACTTGTATTCTTATTTATTACAAATTATCTTTGAAAATCGAGAAATGTGTGCTATTGGTAAGATCGTTTTATTTCTTTTAGGTCTTAAGCTTAGCTTAAGCTTATATTAAACTTAGTAAGCTTAAATATGTCATTGAAATACTTTCTTTCTTTCCTTTAGTTCCATTTGATGAAGACGATAAAGATAAAAATGTTTGGTTTTTAGACCATGATTACCTTGAAAATATGTATGCAATGTTTAAAAAAGTCAACGGTAAGTTTTACCATGATCATAATGTGGGTCTTACCTGCGAGACTGTGAGATGAGGTCCAAGATCATCCAGGGTTGTAGTTAGGTAAAAGCAATAACAGTATTACATGTTTTGTTTCAGCTCGTGAAAGAATAGTTGGATGGTACCACACAGGACCAAAACTAAACAGCAATGATATTGAAATTAATGAACTTGTGAAAAGATATTGTTCAAATTCTGTAAGTATTGTCATAACGTTAATGGTATTTATTCTAGAGTTGGTTTGTTACTATTTGGAACATACTTATGCAAAGTTCATGGGTTCATTTCCTGTTGTAAACCTGTATTGTTTCAGGTTTAATTTGCTAGCATTAAGCTAGAAATCTCAAAATTTTTCAATTTATTCATCATTATTCCATTTATTTTTAAAGGTTTTAGTGATTATTGATGCTAAACCTAAGGATCTTGGTCTTCCTACCGATGCATATGTTGCTGTTGAAGAGGTTCACGATGTGAGTCAAGTTATGAATMATATATTTTTTATCATTCCAATATGGTAAAAGATGTTTAGATGGAAAATCTGCAGTGTAATATATACAACTCTGTTTAGTGGGTTCTGTTATTATAGGAGCAAGTGTTTTTCTAATCAATGAACCTTGTATATGCTGCATCACATTGTCAAGTGTTGTAACCTTACACATGTTATGCAGCATTGGTTGGTATGAAACACACTGGCTTCTGTCATAACATATGCATAGAGAGTGGTAACATGGATGGAGACTTAAAAATATATATTGATATATAATCTACTTCAGGATGGCAGTCCCACGACAAAGACATTTGAACACATTCCAAGTGAGATAGGAGCAGAAGAAGCAGAAGAAGTTGGAGTGGAACATCTTCTTAGGTTGGTATTATAAAGTTATTTCATTTAAAGAGATGGAATGCACAGAAAACAGGAGAAAAAAATACAAAACATGAGTGTTAGGTCCATAGGGGTGCCTTTACTTGATTCAGCCCTTAAATAAAGGTATAAAAATGTAATTGTTTGTACGTTTCAGGGATATCAAAAACCTTACAGCAGGAACTCTTTCCCAGCGCATTTCAAACCAGTTAAACTCTCTGAAAGGTCTGCAGGCTCGTCTGTGTGATATTAGAGACTATCTTGATCAGGTTGCTACMGGCAAACTACCCATAAATCACACTATTGTGTACCAATTACAAGATGTGTTCAATCTTGTTCCTAATTTRAATGTTGAAGAGTTCTTTAAATCAGCTACAGTTGCTACTAATGATCAAATGATGGTTGTATACGTTGCATCACTGATGCGTGCTATTATAGCTTTACACAACTTAATCAACAACAAAGTTACTAACAGAGATGCKGAGAAGGACGAAGCAGGGAAAAAAGATGACAAGAGTAAAGAGAAAGAAAAGAAAGAAGAGAAAGAGAAGGACACCAAAGAGAAGGAAGTGAACGAACAGAAACCAAAAGACAAGGACAGTAGCAAAAAATAGAGCAAAACCTGTGCTCTAATAATATTATTGTAAAAGTGTAAAAAACATCGAAAGTTTGATTAAAGAAGGAGTATCAGTTGTGGGCTGAATTGTCGTACTTTCAATAATTGGTGTTTTTAATATTGAAACCCCTTTTGCAAAGACTGTTAGACGTTCAGTTTTTGAGTTATTGCACTACTCTATTGATATTGTTGCAAAAGCTTTTCAGTAAGATTGCGTTAACTCTCGTTTCCTTCTCAAAACACTACAAATTGCGAATATCGTCGGGAGCACTTTAGAAACTGCGAGGGAATGTACGCTGGGCAAAGGATAAATTTGTGCAAATCTATCTGCAGCGAGACAACATTATTTATAATAAGAGGCATGAAAAACTGCTCCAACCTTACGACAAGAAATGGGAATTGGGCAAGAATAATATACAGGAACGAGTTGTTTTCGTAAAATACATGATTTCGTGACAACAGTTTAATTCATTGGATTTCTTTATTTAAAATACGAATCCTATCACTTCAATAACAATTTGTTTGACAATAATTTTTATAATCTTCAGGAATTTATAGAAGCTTTAGAACTATGACTRACACTAATTGTCGATAATCTACCGGGCGATAATCCTGTTTTCAGGACAAGGAATTGACACATTATAGCAATGCTTTACCAGCATTAATCCACTAACAGGCGGGGAATTAGCCTTTAAGGGMCGGGAATGCCGGCAATTGACTGATGCACTCATTACCCGACAAAAAACAATGRAAATCGTACATCATGTGAGTCGAGCGTTCATTTTGTTGAGAAAATATCTATTTACAAGCATAGTCCAGTAAAACCATCAGAACAACTACAATTGTACCTCTAATGATATAGAATTCTTCATTCAAAAATTCAAAAAATTAATCGAATGTGACTTTTTYTTTCCTTTAGAAAAAAGTATCAAATGAATTACCGACATTTTAATGCTTTATTGAGAACAGAGCACTGCAAAACGTATACTGCCGGACATAACGGCACACGACGAACTTTACAAATGCTTGGACAGCTRATGTTTAATTATTATCAAGGAAAACTCCAAATTTGAAACTCTTCACTGTCTTTTATGAAACTATATAACAAAATCTGTACAATTTTAATCAATTTGAGAATTCGATTCGCATTTGCCGGTAATATGAAAATTACATGATAACGAGGCACCTTGTTTCCGTCCACAAGTTCCAGTATTTCTTCTTGACAAATTGCACTGGAAACAAGCKTCAGCAGAACTGCAAAAACGTTTTGTTTTATGAACTGCAAGCAAACTTTTCATATATAAAACTATGAAAAATTAGGCTTAAATAGCATGTAAACTTGATTTAAAAGATGCGCTTAAATGGAAACTCTTTTTATAGCATAAACCAACAATTTCAAAATATATTCTTTGCTTTCAAACAGTGAAATTCTTCTAMGTTTTTTACCTATTTTAATTTGCTAAGTTATTTTTTCTACCTCTATTAATATAATGTTGCATTTTGTATCAAACTCGGGCACTTTTCAGCTTTGTACAAAAGAGTGACGCCTGTGTTACTCTATACATCAAAGTGAGCCTGGTAGGTGTTCCCTTGCGCATCAAATTGAGGCTGGTAAGTGTTACTTTGAGCATKAATGTGAGGCTTGTAAGTGTTAACGATGCATGAGCATATCGAGGTCATCATCTTCACTTTCATCACCYTCCTCGTTATCCAGCTGTAGAGATATGAGACATGCTATTATCAAGAAAGTAATGRCGAAAATACTCCTACAGCAATAAATAGTGACCTTAGTTTCTTGAACATATTACTTGTACACAGCCTTTACTTTGTAAGAAAAAATCCCCGATATTCCAATATTAGACCTTGTTTTCAATGTATACATGCGAGTACTTACCTCTTCTAGTTCTTCTTTGGTAAAAAACCTTGAAAGAAGTTTTCTGAGTGGTATAAGACAGATGATGAAGAACGGGAASGCAGGAGCAACACTCGTTAACTTAACAGCCATYAAAATGAGCAAACAGMCAATTTGRACAGCAGTAAACCAGTAAATTCTACTGGTATGAACCTARAAGAAACATCAACAGTTATATCATACCCTGCTTTGCATATTTTCTTCTCTTCCASGTGAACATCTGGGATTTCATTAAGGGAGTGGGGCAATCACCATTTTAAGGCGAATGGTCGTCTCTCCCTCAATATTGCCACTATGTTAATGTCTCTTAATMGATGCAAAGTCTTACCTTTCTGACATAGCGAACATCAGGATGGTGTTTTGGAGGCATGAACAGCATAATAATACGATTCACCAACTGGATATGAGACAACGATGCCACGCCCAGGTACAATAGAACCCCAAACACGACTGAAACTGGGATTTGATGAAGCAGAGGTGCCAACATTATCGATATCCCTAAAACAATCCATATCATCAATAATATCATCAATAACCCACGAGTCACAGCTGCCTTCCAACAGAATTGGGCAATAAGTGAGAAGACAAGAGGACATTCACGAAAACCCAGAAGGCTTTCCAGTTGGCAGGGGATTTCCCCTCATAATTTCCACCCTCTGAAATCCCTCGGACCCGAATCAAATCTAGAATTYTCAGGATGACAAGGAATTGAATACTATAATAATATGAGCACATTGAAATAAAGACAGGGAAATCAAGTAAAAAGGAACCACATACCAGTCAAAACATGAATAGCAATGTTAGTAACCCTCTGTTCTTTGACTTCGATAAGAAAAGGTCTTTCACCTGGAGCGTGAGACGTACTCCACACACTTAAAGCAGTGAAATGCGATAATGACCTGACTGTGGCCGCACACATCCAAGGAAGTCCAAACAAACCACAGATAAACGATAATATACCCATTAAAACGAGGTCGATGTTAAAACCAGGTAGTTTCTGTAGATTATTTTCTTTTTTGTTGAGTAATACTCCAGTAAGTTCTGTTTCCATAAACAACAATATCCCAATGAACAAGGCTGGTACTATAGCAGCGAAAGGTAGTCCTGGATGGATAGTTTCTACTAGTCCAATCGGATTGATGATCCATCCACGTTCTCGATATTTAGTTGGTCGAAAACCAACAGTAAACGGATTACCAAAAGATACCTTGTCAACAACAACACTATTTCCTACTGTAAGATCCAAGAAACTCATGGAAGCCATAGCAATAATGATCCCTAAGTCACTTATTAGTCGTCGCATCTGAAAAATATGAAGAAACTTTGACTGACGCTGCTTGGTGGACAGACAGACTAACTCTAWGACTAAAAGAAAGGCCTATAAGGAAACTAGATGAATTCCTACCTGCTTGCCAAAGAAGTGACTGTGCCGTACTTTCTGCATGTAGAAAGCAACACAAAATGTCCCAAACAAAAGAATGACTGACATCAAAGCGGTATTAGGTTCATTGGTGGCCGAGAAGATGCTGCTGTCTACCTTAACCTTTCTAGTACCATTAGAGAACTTACGAGATAGTGGATTTGCCTTGAAGACCTGAAAAATTACAATCAAACTTCTATTAAGTTCTTGTAAAAATAAACTAGCGACACTATTTCACTTCAACTGACCGTACATATTCTTGGATTAGTGTATATATTTTCATCAAAGTCTTGGCACATCAGTCTCATCATCATCATCATCCATACTCAACACAGCTGGTCTCATTTTTATCCTCACAATGTTCATCACTGTCCTTGAATCACCATGGAAGTTAGAGTTACTTACCTCGACAAGGTAGCTCAAGGCTTCATAAATGAAAATGGCAGAAATCAGACACCCGAACACTTCCTCGGTGAACCTGGTAAAATAGCGAACAAGAAAACATCCTTCGAACAGCACAACAATGAAGAGAATTATCATCACCCACATTCCAATCCAAAACCTCCAGGGTAGGAACTCGATATTGAACGATTTACAGAACTGAAAGAAAAACATACTTGTGAGCGAGAACCAACAAGAACAATCAAATGAGCAATCGATCCATGTGAATAAACAAATGAGGTGAGGTAATGGATGAATAAAAGAATGGATGAAATGGAAAAATGAGCTTTAAAAAAAAGAAATTAAGCCTAGTGCATATAGTGGTGGTTGGAGGGGCAGCTATAWGGAGTTTGAAGTAAAAATTACACTAATTACCTGGTAAATAGATTGTTCAAAAACCAGCACTGGACCAGTGGCACCAATGATAATAAGAGGTTGTCCAGCAAATAAACCAAATAAAATTCCACACAAGCAAGTCGCAAAGATGACTTCAGATATACCCATCCAATTTTCGGTCTTATCAGCAAGCAGTCCACCGAAAGCGATATTCGGTGCGAACACAGCGAAGTAGAGAAATAAAATAACCCATAAACTGTGTAAGTTTAAGCCATCTTTAAAGTCACTGACATAGTACTCGGCTCGACGTTTGATGTCTCTGATTAGCCCTCCACAGTACCGTCCAGTCCGTTTCAACGGACCATCCTGTTCTTCTGCTGCYGCAACTGCGATAGCTTTTAACACAACAAAATAACATTAAAMAACAATTACAAATATTATTGCTTTGAGAAAGAGACAGAAAAAGAGGTATACTCACCATTGATTTGTTTTGCTTCTTTTCGTCGTTTTGCCATAACTTTACTCTGTCCCATGAGAAGAGGGATGAGTAATTGTCGATCCCATTCCCCAGGRGGTAGTACGATAGTATCGTCTAARAACTCATTGATGGCTTGTAAAATGTCTTCACGTGATTCTGAGTAGTATGCCAAATCATGGAAAACCTACGTATTGATCAAAGTATTACACATTGGAATAACACAACTAGAATCTAATACAAACTATATACTGCATGCTACCGCCGTAGCGGTAGCGGCTACCGATGGAAGCCAAAAAGAGGGACTCCTTCGGATGCTGCAAAGTCGGGATGACGGGCAGTCCTTGAAATTTTATGTTTTGTGTTTTTAAGACAAATAGTTCTTGAAATATCCAAAACGAAACCCAATTGGGCAAATCATTTCAAGGTGGAAGAGACCAAAGCTTATATATTTAGTTCTTATTGATTTGTTCGGCARTGAAAATCAGGCAGTTTTWCGGGTTGGTTTAAATACCTGGTCTGACATTAGTGTGGAGATAGATCGTCCTATCTCGTAGTAGGTGTCTTCCTTTTCTGCTGGACCAAGCATCACAAAGATAAACCGACAAGGAATATCAACCTCAGTTAAACCCTCGAGTTGGACACCTTTAGCAAGACGAACAAATGCTAACACAGGGTTTTGAAGACTTTTYAATGCGCCCACCATAACTGCAGTGGCCTCAGCATCAGCTGGGATTCTGGATTTGACGTTAGATTCATTCTTCCGTGCTCCTTTTTCAGCGGGTTTCGGTGGTGCGAAGGTAACCTCTCGCTTAGTAGCCGGGCTTCCTTCGGTGTCTGATACACACAAAGGCATCTGAAGAATGATAAAGCAAAGTGAGAATTGGTTTTACATGTATGAATGGAYGAATGGAAGAAAGGAAAGACATGGTAGGAAGGAAGAAGAGATGGAATGGGAAGAGAAAAGACGAGGAAAGGATAGAGTATGGAAAAAACTTGAGAAGCAAAGCCAAGGATTCACAAAGATTGAAATACCTGGCTCTTCATTCCATCGTCTACTGAAAAATCTGAAGCTGTATCCTCGTCGATTTTAAGACAAATGACTCCATCTTCATTCTTCAGAGCTTCGGGCTGTTCAGGGAATTTATTTTCGTCATCTTTAGCGGTACTTTGAGAAAATGGCATCATGTTATAAAAGGAAGAGCGTCGAGGAATATTTGTTGCTTCTTGATACTGATGCCTATGTTTCAGCAAAAGGGCGTCTATAACAGCATCTTTCTCTTCACGAGGCAACTGATCTGTGATCACCATGTTTTCGGCAATAGTTTCCACGATACTGTGAATATCAAACTGTTCTAAATCTAGAAGAACAGTACCTAGATATGAAACAACAACATATTAGAATGAAATATTTTTACAGCAACGAGGTTCAAACCTATTGAAATCRAATTGACGATTTTCTGTCAGTGAGCTTCGTAGCCGGTGGTGAAAAAAAACCCTGTACGGTTATGTAGTTATGTCACTAACCTTTCTCTAGGCCTTTTCTCAATTCTAATAAACTTTGAAAGGTAAGCGAAGCTACATGAGGCCGACCCCATCGATTGGATGCTTCGACATCCTCTTCGAACTTGATCCATCTTGCCGTCTCTCTCCAAACCATTCCCTCTTCTCTGTGGGTTAGCTCTTGAAGTTCAATGAATGGCTGAAACACAACATGCTCAAGTAAGTAAGAGACATTAAAGAAACCTTTACGACTTTTATTTATAAAATAGGGACACTTAATAATAATCATAGCAAAAAAATTATAATACTTCGAAGTCTATCCAATGATAAAACTATAACCGTTTCGCGTTGCACATACCTCATGTGGGGTGTGGTCATACTTGACTGGAAAATCGAGAACACTGGCTGTCAGAGTATCACTACTGCTTTGTCTTGTCAGAGTACCAGATTTAAGCCTTGTTTTACGAAGGTGCGGCCGACGACGTCGGAGGCCTCGTAAATCCTCAAAACGATGCCCTGGTGGTCAGAATAATCAAGTTTAGAGACATTTATCTGAGACAAGTGTAATTTGAATATTTCGCTTACAGGCTATTTCTTCGAGATCCTTCTTTTGAAGTGTGTCTTCTTCTTCTCCCTCAATTGAATCGGTTCTTTTTCGTAGTTCAGCATAGTTTGCCTCTGTTTCTTGAAGAGTCAAGAGACCAGATCGTAATCGCGATCTTTCTGCCAAGGCTTCTCGTTCACTAATCGTTCTATGTTGCTTTATTTCGTGTTTTCGATGATGGTGCTTACGGTGATGATGATGGCGCTTATGTCCTTGTCTAAGAAGATCTGGTTGAATTCTGTCTTTATCTCTGTGATGCGATTCAATGTCTAGTTGTTCAGCTATTGCCTTGCCGCTTCTATCATTAACTCCATGCTGACGGCTTACCACTATACTGTGAGGTTCGTCAGTTGACTCCGTGTCGTGTTCGTGGATCTTTGGCATTATATCGATAAACGAGTCTCTATCTTTAGGAACAAACTTTCTCATTTGCTTACCGCTTGGTAATTCCCCATCCTTTCGTATCTGTTTCATCTGTATTCCTACATCCTCGTCATCTTCATCTTCTGCTGTTTCCTTGACTTTGTTGGTTACAGCTTTTTGAGCAGCCACTGCTTTGCCTGGAATAGCTTCTATGCTAGAAACTTTGCTTTTCTCTGTGGCAGTCGTTTTTTCTGTAGGAGAGTCTTTCTCTGGATGAGTTCCTCTTTCAGGGACTGTTTTTGACTGGAGAACTTCAGGTTTATTCTGTCTGCCTGAATCGTCTTTTGTAGATATATGATTCTTTACTTCATCAATTTTAATATCRTCATTCAGTTGTTGTTGAACTGGCTGGATACCGTCTTTCTGTGCTGYTAAAGAAGGCAATGGTTCCAGTGGTTCAATTTTATCCTCTCTCGATGACAGCGACGGCACTTGTTTAGCACTAGTCACATTTTCTTTGATAGGCACTTCTACCTTGATTTCTTGCAGTTCGAATGTTTCTGGTTTGTTCTTGCTGTCATTATATCTATTTCTAGGTGATGGAAGGGACTCGGTTTCGTCTATGGTGTCATCTTCTCTAGAAGCTAAGGATGGAACTGTATCATTATTAACAACATCTTCTGTGTTGTCTTCTTCAGGGGCTTCCCCTCCATCAGTCTGATCCAGCTCTTTGGTCACAGGAGCACTAGTTACTCCATGACGGCGATGACCTGACTGTTTCCTTGACTCAGCTTTCACTTCCTCATGGTTGACAAGCTGCTTAAGTCTGGCTTCTCGTTCATTTTCTTTCTTGAGTTTCTTGTGTCGTTTTACACTTTTTTTGTCATGATGCTGAAATTCATTCCGATGGGTAGAAATACGRCGCAGTGGTTCATGGTATTTTGTAGATGTTTTTCGTCTGTCTGCAAAAAAAACATTTTGTCTCAGTAAGACTAMTGAATAATGCTTAGGCATAGGTGCTCATTAACATCAGAGCAAAGATGATCTGTATAAAGATGACCCAGAAAAAGACAGTTGGCTAGTTAAAAATGGAAGATGGTGGAAACAGCTGAGGCAGACCAAGAGAACCATGCACTAAAAGTTACATAGTGATCGATATAGGTGGTAGACCCTGAGAAGAATGCCCTAAAAGTTACATAGTAGATAGATGTAGGTGGTAGACCAAGAGAAGCATGCTCTTAAGGTAGCATAGTGGATAGATATAGGTGGCAAACCAATAGAAGCATGCCCTAAAAGTTACATAGTGGATAGATGTAGGTAGCAGACCAAGAGAAGCATCCCTAAAGGTTATGCAGTTGGAGGATGTAGGTGTTTGAAGTAGCAGAAAGACATTGCAGCATTGTCTACTGTACTAAATCTAAATCATAAACTTTCCAAAACAATTTGGAATTTTAAGCGTTTCTGGCTGAAATAAAGCACTCCTATCAAAACATTAAGAGCATGAGGTATAAATAGCAATACAGTAATAATCGACGAAGAGTTATTTGTGTTTATAGCTGGCTTGAGAAAATTATAAAGAACAGTTAAGCCTTTTGCATTTGGAAATTGTTGGGCAAATTCAATTTATTGCTATATAAGCAATCCATTATTCTATGCTGAATTTATTGAAATAACTTCTTTGTTTTGTATATTCCGTATTTATGAAGAYATGGTGGTTTATGCATAACATATCCTTGAAAACCTGTCTATATGCAAATTAATTCTTTACACCAAAATAATACAGTGTGTAAACAAGGTCAATCCCAAAGACAGTCATAAGAGAAGGAGTTGTATGTGGGTGTGCAATAATATAGTATATAAGACAGCCATGGTTTATTAATGTTGCATTGTAAGCACAAGAGTTAAGGTATGTCACATAGATATTTCTGTTGCATTGTTGATTTTCTGAGCATATACATATATTATATATAATCATATATAAACGAATAATGCAGCTGAAAACTTCATAAATTAAGTCAGCTTTCCTGGATTGTTAAGTTAATCCTAAGTTCACTATAATATATACTTTATTTGGCCACAAAACAGTAGGAAAACTAAGTCTTATGATTTGAGGCAGAAGCACTCGCAAGGTATGAAAAAATAAATCATTATTGTGCATATATATGATTATACTTTCACCAAATATTCTAGCTTCCAATTCAATACCATAGTCTATATAAATCCAAAGATTTAGGAAATGTTCAATCAACATTGTTTGTGCAATTGATCGTATCGTAATAACATGTAACCTAAAATCAGGTTGAACAGGAAACACCACATTACCACGATACAAATATATTAAGTATAAACACTTTGAAAACAAACCTGATCTATCGTATGCACACTTAAACTTAACATTCACTTGACTGGCTTGTATATTGACTTACTTTTGTAATCTTTTTCATCAAAATTATAATCGTAATGAGAAGTCTTAGCTTCATCGTCTTCTGCAGCCCCAGAAGAATGATCAAGGATAGAATGGTCGCTAACACTAGGCGCTATATATGGCCTGTTTAGGACCTTGTTGTACTGATCTTCATCAGTACAAGGGCGTTTAACCTACAATGTTACATAAAACAACTTATTAAAACAAGAATTGTCATACAAGGCTGATTATTATCAAGACAATCAAGTCAAAAGCAACAGACTTACATCAGGAGTGTTGGGCTCCAACGTGTCATCGTCATCTTGATCCGCAAGTCGAAAACTAGCCATTGTCAGCCAACACTAACTTATTGCTAACAAAACAACTAGACATGAGGTCCAACAAAAACTGTGTCAGCTTGAAGATAACTATTTCTTCCGTCTTGTACACAAGCTGTGGTCTCGTGACAAATATCGAAGAAATTGAATACGAAGTTCTTTAGAAGAATCACACTGAAACCCGGCCATCCAAATCGCGCAAACTTGAAAATCTATGGCATATTCAACACTTAAATGCATCCAAAGCACATGTAGATAACCAAACGGACTTCGAAAATAACGTATATATTCTTGGATCAAACGTTCTACWCCACATCAGACCATGGGTTGACTTTGTTGTCCAAGAAGTGTTCAAGACGTCCCCCTTTTTCCTTGGCCAATAGCATGTCATGTTATTGTCATGTGATCATTAGAATAGCACGTGCTTGAGTTGCTATCAAAAAACCGATATAAATTTACATAATAAACAGAAGAGCGCCAAAATACATGTACGTTATGTTTTTGTACCAAAAAATAAAGACATGTTTTATGATCCGATGGTTTTGATTGGCTTCAAATCACATTTTGCCTTTGCTAGMATGGCGGGKTTTTTTTATTTTCTTTGGCCTAATTTTAAAAACACAAGGACTCTCGGTAGATTCCCTTACATATAAATAAATGTGACGTCATATAATAAGATTTTTTCCACATATTCTTGAAGGACATAAGAAAAAAATAGCAGTTTAGAAAATCTCAGCGTAATGGAGTCATTTATAGTTAGATTTAATCGTCTTTATRAACCAAGTCAAATTTACAAGGATTTACCTATGGCCATCCAGCCATAAAGATGTTTGTATCTCGACTGCTGGAAGTACTTTGACAATGTTTCAAAAAAAAGTAACATGTTGTTGTTTCAAGAYAAGGGAATGATTATAAAAATGAGGKAAATAAGKAAATGAAATTGGAAAAATGTTAATTTTTTGTGATGTCACTATTTGCCACTCCATTAGCATCATGTTTAGATAAGACTTACAAAGACTTTCCCAAACACTTTCACTGTTTACTCTTGACAGCCTAAATGATAATATTCCACATTGTAGCAATACTTAAAGAGTTGCCAAAAATGATGGTGGCAAGAAAAACYTGTATAAACAACTTGGTATAGTGGAGTATGTTTATTCTACACTTTGCACTGGGGTGACTCTGACACAGTTGGGTTCTTGGTATAAATGACACAAAGTGCACTTAAGAGTATAATGATCATTTACTTGAGACATTTGCATTCAATTACAGACATACATTGTTCTGGAAAAAACTGTAGGAATATATATGAGACAATAATTATCAATAATTGATCATTATAACAGAGTTGACTGTGCAAAGGACATGGAACTTCCCTGCTGAATGTGCCATGACATATTCTTGAAYTAATATTTCCATTTTGTATCAATACAGTCATACTAAATCTACTCTATTTTCCATAATTTAACAAGAAATCATAGTTAAGCTGCATAAACTATTTCCATCTGAGGTCACACACGACAGCAATATGATCAGATGGCATTACAACTGATGGTAAAGCACAATGTTGTAGTAATTCATCTTCTGGTGGTACAGGAATCACAGCTTGAACTTCAAAGTGAATTTTCTCACAAAAGATATAATCTAAAGTACCTTTATAACCTAGAGTGAAATTGGTATAGGGAGGAAACCCACTTGCATTAGTAAAATCAAACTGATGTGAGACAGTCATTGTTTGACAATGCTCGTCTTGATCTTCATTGATTGTCCAGTCAGGATGGCCATTATCAACAACACCTGTACTAAGTAACTCAATCAGACCAGACCTTGGATCACTATTAAGATCACCACAAAAGATCAGTGCCACATTCTCCAGATTTGTTAACTGTTTTTTCGGCAACCCTTCAGGATCTGATTCCTGACCTTGAYTGGAARTTACAAGACTGATAACTTTCTTGACCTCATTCAAAATAATTGAAGCTTGTATCAATCTGACGTGAGGTGACTTTGGTTTGTAGTAGAGATGAGTATTAACTACACATAATAACTTGTTTTGTTCTTTATCTTTCAATATTGTTATTTGAGCAACAGAATTTCTCTTTGTTAGAGTCYCTAGAAGAGCTGGAATTGATGATATATGATCCAGAATTCCCTCATTTATGGGATCTTGGAGAAGAGCATCTTTCATTGCTATATCATGGCTTCTTACAAACTCTAATTTCTCTTGGTTAAAGAAAATGGCTTCCCCTTCAGGAACACCTGGTTTGCATTTCAAGAAACCTTGGTATCCCAGCATACTCATGGCTCTTTCCAAGAAATCATGGAAAATTTTTGTGCCACATTCCTGTAAGCAAAGTATATCTGCATTGTAGCCTGACAGCTCTTTGAGAAGTAACTGTTGCCTATAACCAATCGTTATAGCATACATAGAACAATAGGGATAAAGGACATTAAGAGCAAAAGGTTCTCTAGARTATACATCTGCAAGAATATTATAGGATACTACTCTTAAGTGTCCTTTGCCAAGTTTCTTTGATGTATATAGCTGTCTGTTTTCAAAGGGGCAAAGACCAGGACCTGCAGATACCCTTGCTAAACTTATAGYCTCTGTACTCACACTACTTATCCTTTCTTGACTGGCTGCAGTACAAACCAACTTCAAGTAGCAACCTATATCAGACAATGAAGGCTTGTAAAAGAAAGAACTTCCCACTTCTTSCCATTGGTAYTCTGACGGCTTAAGAGGACTGGCACTTGCCGAGTCATCAATTGGATTAAGAGAACGATACCACGMAAATACACAGCTTTCTATAGTTGCAAACTGAACTTCAACTACAGGAAATATAGGAAAATCAGCCATTATGTGGCTGGGCAGTGATAATGAAATCACCCTTGGTGGATTAACTTCAACAGGYAAATCTCGATCTCCCAGCTTCAAAAATGAACCATCTTTCCATGCCACCTCATTTGGAAGGACACCAGACACCATYTCGTTGCCAAACCATAGCGAAACAGCTTGGTCTTCCTCTTGTCTGACATTCACAGTTTCTTTCTTGTCTTTTTTAGATTTCTTTTTCGAATTTTGTATGGACAAGAAGATTCTTTTCAAAGATTTCTCTAAGATTTCATCTTTCGCACGCTCCATATGTCTATGCTTTCCCTCATGAATGAATGATATTGTCATCGAGTCATTGTCGGGTAAACTATGCACTATAACAGTAGACATTTTAGAAATACTAGGCGTACTAATAACTCGTACCCAAGATCTAATACTACCCAGAAGAGATAGCGATATTTTCAATCTGCTGGTGCAACGTGCCATCAAGTTTTCCTTCCAACAAGGCCTGAGGAATAGGCTATTGCAATGAATCATGGGAAATAACACAGAAGGCCCATCGACATGGATCGAAAACCCAACTTCGGAGACACCAGGAATGTTCAATTAAACATTTTATTTCTGTTTACTCAGAAAAAAATTTCATTTAGTGCAATCATTATTTTTCTTTTACTTTTTTTTTACAAAATTTAGACTTTTATCAACAACTATAGTGCTATGTGTATAAGATTTCCAAAAATAACATTTCATCAACTTATAATTACATCTATGACGTCATATGGCGATGAGTGGATTGTGAGCACTGGGTCAAAATACACAACAATCATTTTCAACGTTATTGCTTCTAGYCATAAACTATTTCAGTCAAATTACAAAACGATTTTTTCTATTATCAACTTTYCGCTCAAAAAACGGACGTGGCTTCACTTGGCAGCTTTGTGAAAACCATGGAAGCGACAACTTCCAGACTTCCATAACCAAGTTACTAAATGAGAACTTTGCACAGTAATTTGTCAACATGTCATTTCTCCTCCTCTACACAGGGCGAGACAAAACKTTCCGTTTTAAAACTGATCTTTGTTAACCATTTTGTAGGCGGTATTGTACTAAGGTATGAGCTTCTCCAGTTCAACCTTACATTGTTATATTAATGTCTTTATCAAGTGAAGAAATCAAGTTGTTCCAAGTCAGACTATTTATGGGTATTACATAGTCTTGCTTTCAATATACAATGGTTATAAATTGGTACAAATGAGTTCATCTTTGCTTGGGTGCACTTGCCAGGATGTATAGATTACATGGACCATCAGGATCATTGGTAGATCTGCTTTCAACTACTGCTATACTGTCTGCACCAAGAAGCCTGAATAATCTCTTTTGATCGTTCATCTCAACGCTTATCTAAAAATAATTACATAATCAGCAGTTTGACAATATARTCACCGCTATCAGTAGGATAAAAGTCACGAGGTTTGCGGAGGCCACGTAATCAGTGATCATTCGGGATCAGTGATAATCGTTATCATTCTGACTCTATACCTGTCCTGTGAGTAAACTTCTTCCTTGTAAACCATGCTTGTGGAATCCTAGCACACTGCCTTGTAAACAAACTGGTCACACACAAAAAAAAAAATTAGCAAAAAAAACAACTACGTCAAGCAAAATTATAACTAATTTCATACCGACTGACTCCGGTTTAATGTCAAAACGTATTTCTGCCACACCACGTTTCGTTTGCTTTGGTTTTCCTTCCAAATTGACGAACTTTATGGAATCTACATAGAACACAACAGAAAGATCAATGTATGTTGCATTTCTGCACTTTGCTCCATCACAACCAACGTAATTTCACATTACGCAACGATACAAYATTACAGGATTATTAGAATTCGACGTTCCGTTAAATCACAGATGATACGTTATTTCTGTTATAATTACCGCTTCTAATGTTGCATCTTCGTTACATGTCTTATATAGCAAAATATCAATGACATTRTCTTACTTTCTGCACAGATGAGGATGGTCTCTTTTTCCAGCTGGTCAAAATGATCGACGTTCAACTTTTTCCCTGTATATAAAAAACACAATATATCATCTTCCTTTATCCCACTCCTAAAGTCTTCTTTCCMCCTTTCTTCCCTTCAGTTTGATTTTACGAGCTTTTAACAATCTACATCTAMATCTACTWTTATCTAAACKACCAATGAAACAAACAAAATAAACCTTCTTTGTGTTCTGTGAACCAATTGGAAGTCGTGTTGAGGTTAACAGAGTCGAAAGCCAATGTCCTATCAGCACTGAAATACAATGTTGAAAAACTTAATAATTGTATTAAGTTATTTTAGGAAGTAGGATTATTACTCACTTTTCCCGCACTCCAACTACAATTAGAGGGTAGTCCATATCAGGTACAATTAACGTCTCAAACAATGTGATAGGGGAGGGGAGGTTAACTTCATACATCTGAAATAAAACAAAATAATACAATACAATAAACTTTATTTAAAGAGGGTGGCACTTGACAGTATTAAAAAACACTGATGAACTCGTGGCCCTCTAAAAAAAACATCGATCAATACGTTGATCATATAGAGCTAATAGATGTAAAGGTCAAGATATTTTAAAGAGCATGTGTAATGTGAACGTAAGGATGGAATGAGGTTCGCATATCTACCATATCATAATAATACATGTATCTGACATCTTTGCACTTACGTTAACTTTCATGAACTTCCCKAGTGGTTCATACCACTGCATCAGTAAAATATTATTAGGTAATGCGGTGCACAGGTACAACTGATTGTTATAAGGATTATTAACTACAACGAAAAAAAAAACAACACAAGATGAGATTAAAAAGATAACAAACGCAAAAAAATATTTTATCTCACCAATACAACATTTTGTACATCCTCTTGATTCTGGGATTCTTTGCGTGAAACCAACACCTCTGTATAAAAACATCAACGTATCAAATAAACCATTCAATGATTATGATGATGATGGTGATAACAATAAGGCCTGGTTCAGACGTCGATCCTTTGCCGTGTCTTTGCCGTATCTGATTGCTTGTTTATAGTTCACAAGGAACGAACTTCTCGTGAACTACATACAACTATGRGGTGGGTTTAAACGTGGGTAAAGATCGACGTCTGAACGAGGCATAACGTTGATAAATTGACGATTATAATCATGAATAATGCAGTTAAGTGATGTATTACTACCTTGTCATGGTGTTCAAGAATGACTGATGTTGTTTATCATGTAAAGAGACTAAGTTATGCATCGAGACACAAGGCGGAGTACCTACATAAAAAAGATCAAAMATCTAAGRATTCCATGGACTCAGTTTAACAGCTCAGCGCTTCAAAAATTAGTYAACAAAATACATATTATTATCCTTCATTATATGTCTTCCTATGACAGCTTACCTGTTATAGAGACCATGATGTTTTCTATTACTGCAAGCCATGTGCATTTCTTAGAACTTATCTAAAAGRAAAACTGATGTTTACAATGGAACCATATGATTTAATAGTTCTAAAAAGAGTCCAACCTGTTCCATCTCTATATCATGAACTTGATCAGTAATGTTCAAGGAGTATATTCCTTCATCTGCACCAATCAGAATGTGCTTATCTAAAAAAAGAAATCTCAACTTATCACAAAGTCTCTTTTGCAGATGTTTTTTTTGTCAAAAGTATTTTTCTGTCTGCCTTGCATGTCTATCATGATATGTGTTTCTCTAAGATAAGATTATATGTGCATATTTCTATGTTATGTCTGTGGCATTATCTATTACTAGTACATACTTCTAGTAGCAGAGTTTATCCAGGTTGCTGTACAATGTATGTGAACTGGACACTCATTGAAGATCTTTGAAAAGCAAGTTGTAACCTGAATAAATGATAAAACAACACTATTAATGTTAGCAACCTCACCACATACTATTCACACACAATAGGTGAATACAAAACTAGTGTTGATATTAACAGATATTATGCCTGGTACTTGCCAAAATCCTGCATTATAATCCAACAAACAAGCTAAGTATGCAAGGTTAAATGAATTGATGTAGTCATAGGCTGTGATTATTTCTCAGTGAGTTCAGGGTATGGTTATTGGTTAATCCCATTATTATGTTATTGTTAAAGATGGACCATCACACCTAAAAGTTAATGAAATTAGCAAAGATATGTTGTAAGAAATTAAAGTTTTTTTAAAAAGAAACCTTTTTAAATGAAATCATCATTTTGATGCATCAAATTTTACTAAAACTTTCATTTCTTAATGCAACATATCTTTTCATTACTCAAAGTTTTCGTTAGTATTTCATTGGTTAGTAAGGTAATATTTTAGTCAGTAATTATATGGGAATATGCTACAGTTAACAATGCATGCTATTAATAGTGGCTCAAACACTTGATGTATAATTTTCACAAGTATTAAACATACTCACTACATGTTTAGGTCTTGGATGAGGAGATGGRATTCCATTATTTACTTTACCTATGGGGGGTCGCTAAAGAAGTCAAGAACACTATCTCCATTAAACAACAGGYTCGTTTTGAATGGTATGATTATATTATATACATTTTAAACTCATTAAGTTAGGGCTTCTTAGAGTTTCCAACTATGGCAGTGGAGATCACGATTTTGAAATAAAAACTCACAAAAAACAAAACTAAAAACTATAAAAAATAGCATTGGTACTGATTCCTGAGCCAATAAATATGATTTGTAAACTGTAATAATGAGAAATATAAATAAACCTTTATAAAATTTTACTGAAGAATTTGATATTTACATTTAAATGCCTATTTACAGCTACAGTATTTTAATTTTAAGKTTTAATGATCTTACAAATTAGTGTAGATTAAATGTGAAGGCATTTATCATCAATTCAGCATTTTTGTATGCTTCTAATTCAATTTACAGTCAAGGAATAATCAGTTCAGTATTTCATGCAAGCACTTGTCTATTTACAATGTACATGAAGTAATTTTCACACAATAATCAGTCTTTTTGTGAAAACAAGAAATTCTCAATAGGCTGTTTGCATTAAGACGTAACTTTACTACAACTACCAGAGAGCCTTGCCCATTTTCATTGTTATTCAGATTTTTAATCCCCTTGGAGATTAATAAAACAATTGGCACTAATTGCATTACAAAAGAAAGTTGGCAAAGCATTCTGGTAGTTGTAGTAAATGACGCCATAATGCATATTGCCTATCATCAACTATAATTTTGTTGATAAATAAGTGACTACAGCTGAATGCTGCATTTTTAAATTTAAGTATTTAAGTCTGAGTTGCTAAATCACTACTTGTCTAGATTCTATTTTTTACTATTCTTTATTTTAAGAAGTGCTGTGTTTTACACAGGAGTCCTTTTTTAAACTCAGCAAATACTTCAGAAGTATTTCAAACTCTATGACACATCAATGGCGAAGTTGCAAGCATGCATAACTAAAAACAAATTCAAASTAAAAGAAGACAATAATGTCATAACAAAGTGCTAACAATATTGTCGTTGCTGYCTTGGGACAAGCTTGGAAGTGAAAATGACTGTCTTAACATTGGAATGCTGTCAGATGGCTGTTATACAGAGACAATGGTTATGAAAAACCACTTTATGATCACAATATCACTAATTTACATGTACTTTAGGTAAATAAAGTTTAAGTAAAGCAATAACTGAAATAGAAATTACTTATCAAGTCATAAAATGAACCCAATGTGAAAAGACTTGATAAACTGTTTAAAATATCAAGTAATCACTTAATCAAAGAGGCTTACCGGTGGTGGTGGCATRCTAGGGGGTGGTACTTTGGGTGGCTCACTGACACTTCTGGCTACTTTAAGGTGATCTGGTTTCGGTGGTGGTGGTGGTTTCATACTTGCTCTAGGAACCTGGTAATGATCTTTGCTTTCCTGTAACAAAATTACATTTACATTGATCACATTTAGATCCACAATCTTGTGTCCATCTTTACAAGTACCGTCATGCACATACTTCAATATTATACTGTTTTTTCTACTAGAGTAATGACATACTTTGGGCGGTAATGGAGGAGGCATATCATCATCTTCATCAACACCTTTTGCTTTGAATGTACCTGAATCGCTTGCAGCCCTAAAATATTGACAACATTTGTCATTATTGAAACTTCATCATTGAACTTCCCAAAATTAAGAATATTTCCATTGTGATTTCAAATTACTGAGAAAATAATTTTATCAGCAAATCGTAAAGTCAGTGAATAGTAAAAGTGATTATTTGTACCTCATTGTCCCATTATCTTCCACTCCAGGGCTTTCAAAATGTCTTTTTGTTTCTCGCTTTGCCATTGGCTCCACTTGAACACCATTTACTAATGACAATAAACCATGATGAACAKATAARAACTAATAACCATATTAAAATGAACGAATTAAATAGTTTATTATAGTCACACGGTGACACTGGAGTGAACTAAAAGAAAATCTTTTTACTTACACATTTCATCAGACATATTTTTTGATGAATGGGAAYTTTTGGTAGACCGTATTCTTGTTGCAACCCTAACATTCTAAGTGAATAAGAAATATTTTTCAAGAAAGAATTTAGCAGATTAAGATAGAGGTATCAACAATTTTCTTAAGTTTTATTTCTTTCTCAATATGTGTAGGGGGAAGGTGACCATGGGAAGGATTGATGTCTACCTCATCAATAACTTCTTCTTCATCTGAGTCATCATGTGGAAAAGTTCTCTCATTAACTTGTGAAGTGTACTTGTCCAATAAATCTTGTATAACAGCTTTTGTGAGATGACGACAACAGAAAGGATGCTGTGTTTGCAAAACACAATTATTTTACAAAAAGAATAAAAAAATTGAATATGAATATAAGGTTTAGATCTCTTTTCCATTTCTTTTGGCTGTTTAGTCAGGGGACTATTGGACTAGAAAGAAAGCTAGCAAAATGAGTCAAAAAATGTTGACTAAAACCTCCAGAAAATACTGAAATACCCTCAATGTTCTTTTAATGGGATTTGCCATAGGCAATGCTCTCAAGGGTAGTGTGATCCATTTTTGATGAACGAATGAATAAAAATCCCAAACTCTTACAGTAAGCATTTTATCAGCATTGGGTCTTCTCTTGGGATTCTTGACTAATGCTGCTTTAATAAAATGATGCATTTCTGCTGACCTGTTAAAAGGAATAAATTATTGTATGATAATGTATACAAAGACTATAGTTTACAGTTAATTCAAAATATAKTCCTTGTACAACAAAGTTATTCACATACCATTTCTCTTTGTCCTTTAGTGTTGGTGGGACAAAATTCTTTTTTCCTATTACATACAATGCCCTATAYAATAAAAAGAGAGCAACCCCAATTCAAGCACTATTGCAATTTGTATAATTTCCATCTATAATTCAGAAGTATTTACCAATTAACTTTTAGGAGTTATGAATATAAATTTGCATTTTTTTTTAACAAAAGACATCTTCAGTTAGTACAGTTCAYCTAGTAGACATGCAATGTACTATTGATATTATTATCATAATGATATAATTACTRACCGTACAGTATACAACATAATTTACTGACCTCATAGGATGAAGGTCRAACATTGGAGGCTGTAATTCAGCACATTCTATAACTGTTATACCAACTGCCCATATATCACACTATGAAAACAGATTATCAACATCAATGACTTTATTTTATTCACTTTAAAGAGCAAAATTCAACTTAAACCTTTCACCACYACTTGTTTTTTGTTTTCTAGTCTTTACTATTCTTTGGGTTTAGTATAGTGGTCTGGAMATGAGCGACATGTGGTGAAAGGACACTTTTGAATCTTTGAAGTTCTTTAAAGTTAGTAAAACCTGCCAGACAGGTTTGTCCTGTCTAAAACTGACAATACCTTGAGATCATATCCACCAGTCCTTTCAACAGCAGCCATTTCTGGTGCCATCCTAGAATAYGAGGTATCATGGTAACAATTGATAGGATTCAAATAGCAAAATACAAAATAGGATTTATCAATTTACATTTTTCTTTTGTTTTTYCTAAACTGGTTCCTGCCTGCCTGCCTGTTTTCCTACTAGAGAAGATACACTAATAATAAAACATTTCAAACTATCAAACTAACTGATAACATAACTTCTGTACCAGGGTGCTGAACTACACATTATCATATGGTAAGGATACTTGCTCAAGTAGCGAATGTTTCTCATTAGTGAACCATCTTGATTACATAGAGCTCTAAAAGAACTACCYAAAACCAAGTGATTACATAGACTAACAATTACCCTCACATTTGATCTATYTTGAATCAATCTTACCAGTATGGAGTACCAATAAATGAATTTCTTTTTTTCATAGTTTCAGTTATTCTGGCAGATATGCCAAAGTCAGCTGTAAGATTAAATCAACTGGTTACTTACATTTTCTACATGAACTCTATCATTTTATTATAGAAACTCACCTAGTTTAACATCGCCACTTGTTGTCAAAAGAATATTTGCACCCTAGAAAGACAGGTAAGAYAAGTTATTGACCACACCCTACTTACACACAGGTACCCCATACTACTATAGTATGATAACACATGATAATAATTATTGTATGAAAACACAAATAATAAAAAAGCTAAACAGCAAAGTTATCAACACAGCCATTAAGGTAGTTATTCTGGACCAAACAATTTGCAATAAATCACACATTAATCAAAAACAGCGAGGCAGAGGACAGGCGTGGCTTAGAGCTAAGTCAAGGTATATGGATCTGAATATCAAAAGGCTATCTGCATTGGTTTACAGCAAAACATGTGAACATTTTTGATCATGTCTTCTTCCTTCATATTACCTTTATATCTCGATGCATCAAATTTTTATTATGMAGATAAGCTAAACCCTACAAAAACACATGAAAACATTCATTAATATATTCAAATTCTTGAAACATAACTTTTTTATTGTCTTACCTTAAGAGTTTCAGTGGTCACATATGATATTTGAGGCTCCGAACAAGGCCCTGTGACTAAAATCAAAACCATCTACATAAAAATTTGACAACAAAGAGAAAAAAATTGCAATAAATAGGTTACCACAATATATATCTTGCAACGAACCACCACCACAAAACTCCATGGCAATCCATAACTTTTCCCTCCTAAATTATGAATCATAGCATTAAAATAAAACACAATTTTATTTTATTTGAAATTAATTATGACTATTTTGAGCTTTACCTCATGTAGCTTCCAATATATTTGATTATATTGCCGTGTTGGCATTGTTGCATCATGGCAATCTCTTGTTGGATGAGAGCAAAATCATCTCCTGAAATAGCAAGCATTGCAATAACACAAAATAATAATACAATTCTCATAAACAAACAGAATTTAATTTACTATCACACCTTGTTACAAAGGACAATCTTTTAGACAAGTTTCTTTTTGGGCATCATTTATAGGAGTTTGTTTTTCCACATATGTATGATTATTAGGTTAAATCACAGCACATGGCCATATGGGTGAAGTCACCAGATGTCAATCAAACACCGTAAAGTGTAAAGGTACGCATTAACCTTAAAGATGCGKCTCTCAAATGCTAAACTGCTCTTTGTCTTACACAGGTCAAATGTGTGACAACATAATCTCATGTTTTAAACTTACCATGCAATTTTTAAATAAAAATACTACAATTTTGAAATAATATGATAAGTGGCCAATCGAAATGTGTTTAGACTGTTAAYGGCGTGAAATTGCTTGACAAAAAAAAACATTGCACAAATTCTTCAAAACGTGTTGAGAGTATCAGTGTCAAATGTGACTTCAACTAGAGTAAATTCAAGTAGAAATTTACTGTCAACATAATACTTTAGGAGGAATATCAGGTTCAGAAGTTCGTCATTAGGCAAACATTTCGTTGATTTTGTCATTGATTCATAAAAGTRCCTTTACATTTCATGAGACACTCCATGTAAAAGGTTATGAAGCCTTTTGAGTAACTTATTTGTCAAGACGGAAGTGCGGAATTCGYACGTTTACTTATAGWCAGTATGATTTTCGCCAGCTCTTTTATCACTTAAAAGAAATATCAACTTAATTCACCACACTGATACCACTAYAATTTCTTATTCAAAACAATTACTGAAGTATTGAATAAACTATACAACACACGCAAGCAGACAAACCCAAACTTTCCCTGAAGTCAAAACAATCAAAACCTGTCCATACTTCTCTCTATACTTTATATACAACTCACATAAACATGAATATGAATATTATTTTGCAGCAAACCACTAAATGAAGTTCWCATTCAATTACCAATAATGCTAAAGATCGATGAACTGAAACTCATTTTCTYCCTAACCTGGTTCAACTTTCACAACCTTGACAGCGGCAAGCTCACCAGTGGCAATCACTCGTGCCTGCGAGTCACAWAATCATATAGCTAAGAATGACTGTTCAAATAATAGACATCAAGTCGGATTCTACACTTCAATTAAAAAACATTAAGTCAARCTGCTTTTGATGGTATTTCAATCAAAAGTTCACAAACCTTAAATACATCGCCATACGTCCCTCCTCCAATTTTCTCAACCAGTTCGAAGACTTTGTCAGGATTCCCCCGAGAAATGTTAGCCTTCAACGGCGTAGTCATTATTGTATAAAACTATCGAACAACTTCTTTCTCATTCATGAGCCTTTGAGAAGCAATAATACAGCTGCTGTAGTTTATATTGGTTCGTTTCTTGAATATTCACGATCGTACAATCTTGCGGAACATTATGCAAATTTTGTTTCCGTTAGGGCTCGGATGACATTCCGCGACTACGACGTGTCAACGAGCTATTATCGATGAGTTCCTAAACGTGAAAGGGTGTTTTTCGTAAGGTCACTTCATTCAAATATTTATCTTTGAGATTTCAAACTAATGTCTTAAAGAATGGCATATATTTAATTGACCTCAAAATCAATGCGTGTGGGAAGAGAAAAAGTAGAAATCTTCGTTGACGTCATTTTTACATTCGCCCCAGTCCTCTAATTGCATTTGCCATCCATTTACAAAATGGCGGCCTCGACGTCACAATTTRCAAGTAAAAGTGATGTCTTTTACAGGCGTTTAATACTATCAAACTTTTTTTCCAAAGGTTGGGGTGACGTTAATRCCTTCAAGCGTCTTTTTGAATGTCGGGATATCTTTGACTCGCCTTCAAAAGCAGCAGAATTARCACCGGCATCCTATCCAGTTAGCATTGACCGTACATGGAAGAAAGATTCGTATTATATTGCAGAGGGACATTTTATTTCTCCAGTTGCAAGACACATTCCTGGGTTGTTACCAAAAGAAAGTGAAAAAGCTCGATTTCAAGTTATTACTCCKACCAAATGGCGCGTAAAAGATAAAAARCCGATTTGCATTCAATTGGCCGGTACTGGAGACCATTTTTACTGGCGAAGACGAAGCTTCATGGCCAAGCCATTGATTCATGAACACTGCATTGCTTCAATTATTTTAGAAAATCCTTACTATGGSCTCCGAAAGCCTGCTGATCAAGTCAGATCCAGTCTCAAGCATGTGATTGATCTTTTCATAATGGGTGCTTCTCTGATTCTGGAATCATCAGTCCTTTTACATTGGTGTGAGAGGCAAGGTTATGGACCACTTGGGATAACTGGTGTATCTATGGGTGGGAACATGGCTTCCCTTGCTGCCAC